GGTAGCTGCGTTTGCCTTCCTCCCGGTAGACTGGGGCCAGCGTCACCCACCGAGGGCTGGACTTTACCATTTTCCCGGCGACCGCAGAGTGAACGAGGATGGGACAGCCAGATCAGGAGGAAACGAAGCCCAAAGACCCTACCTACCACACGCACATTTCTTCCAAGTTTCACGTTTTATATATTAAAAAACCCCTCCTTGTGCCTATTATTCTGTGCATTATCCTTTCAATATGTAAATAATGTTTAAAGCAACTCTCTTGCACAGTTAGTGAGTGCAAGATGACGGGAGTACATTGAGCCCCGAGGAAGATGTGGCCTCCCGCGCACAATTGCCCAAAGTCAAGACACACTTAGTTGGCGAAGTCCCGCAATNTTCCTCCACTGATGACGGGAGTACATTGAGCCCCGAGGAAGATATGGCCTCCCTCGCACAATTGCCCAAAGTCAAGACACACTTAGTTGGCGAAGTCCCGCAATCTGGGATCAGAATAGGCCTTTTTGGTTTTTTGTTTTGTTTTTAAAATATGTATTGATTTCAGAGAGAGGAAGGGAGAGGGAGAAAGAGGGATAGAAACATCAATGAGGAGAGTCATTGATGAGCTGTCTCCTGCACGCCCCCTACTTGGGATCCAGCCCGCAACCCGGGCATGTGCCCTGACCGGGNTCATTGATCAGCTGTCTCCTGCATGCCCCCTACTTGGGATCCAGCCCGCAACCCGGGCATGTGCCCTGACCGGGAATCGAACCTCCGTCCCCTGGATCTTAGGTGGATGCTCAACCGCTGAGCAACGCCAGCCGGGCTAGGCCTTTCTGTTTTGTTTCGCAACAATGCAACGTGAGAGGTGGCAGTTCTAGCCTGGACGCTAATCTCTGGCCATTTTCGCCATCATGGACCTCCAGGGGTCTTAAATGCAAAGCAAGGCAATTAGAAACCTGCTACATTAAGGGCAGTGCAGCTCCGACGCCCTTCTGGGGACCTAGCGGCCCTCGGCGCTCCGCGGGTCTGGGGAGGGGAATCCCTGCCAAGGCTGCAGAGCCAGGGTCAGGGCGGCCTTCCCCGGAGCGGCGAGGCTGGGGTGGTGGACCCCAAGCAGCTGGGGCGGAGTCTGCGGGCCTCGCTCCACCCCGGACAGGGCGGGACCGGGAAGTCCCGCGCAAGAGGTCCCGGCGGTGGGAGGCTCGGAGAGTTGTGACCGCCTCCTTCCTGCCGCTAGGACCCGGGCGGGGAAGGCGGGTGCCAGCCCAGAAGAGAAGAAAGGGGAGAGGCCGGCGGGTCATGTCCTGGTCACTGCGCACCACTCTCCTTTGGGACCTGATCCTGGGCGTACTGGGCATCTCCGCCTTCCTGATCCACCTGGGCTCCGACCTGTGGGCTGTGAGCCAGTATGCGCTCCGCGGCCGCTACGTGTGGGCCGCGCTGGTGTTGGCGCTGCTGGGTCTCGCCTCGGTCGCGCTGCAAGTCTTCAGCTGGGTCTGGCTGCGCGCGGATCCCGCTGGCCTGCACTCGTCGCAGCCCTCAGTCCGCTGCCTGGCGCTGCTCCACCTCCTGCAGCTGGGCTACCTGTACAGGTGAGCGCCCTGACACGGGGAGGGGGCGGGGAGGCACCCGTGGGCGCCGTCACCTGCAGGTGAGCTTCCAGCTCCTTAAAGAAAGGTAACTCTGGGTGACAGCGCTCAGAACTCACCTAGCCCTACCCTTCCTCTCACAGGTAAAGGAACTGAGGCCCAGAGAGGAAAGGCATGATTTGGAGTCAGACCTCTCTGGGGGCCAGTCTTGGCTTTACCCCCTGTGACCTCATTCCTGGCTTTTTCTGAGCTTGGGTTTCCTCCTCTGTTAAAAAGAGGTAGTAAATCTAGACATAGGTCTGGCAGGCAGGCCTGTTGTGAGGAGTGAAGGAAAGACCACAGTGCTCAGCTCCTGATGGACTCTGTTGAAAGGGCAAAGACGTGCAGAGAGACCAGAGTTCCTTTTAGCTGAGGATGGGGCCTTGGGCAAGTCACTTGACCCCTCTAGGTCTCAGTTTACTCATTGTTCCAGTGGCATGGTCATAGTGCCTCCTTCTGTTTGGTAAGGATTAAATGAAATGAGACCTGTGAATTGTGTGCAAATGTGAGCTAGCTTCATGAGAGTTTCTGCAGTCCTGACCCCCCCCAGAGCAGTACTTATTCCCTCACCCCTGAGGGCCTCTCATCTTTTCTTTCCCAGTTAGTTGTATTCTCCCAGAAAATTTCCTCCCTGCCCCCCGCCCACCCCTGACCAAGCAAGAGGGCAGAGATGGGGTTTGACTCTTCCAGGCCCCTGGAGCCAGCCAGGGCTGGGCATAGGCCCAGTCCCAGAAAATCTGCGTGGGTTTTGCTCTTTTCTAGAACTGGCAGAGCCCGCTAGAGATGGGGAAACTGATACCAAGGGGTCAGAGTCATGGGATAAAGTCAGGACGCAATGTGGCCTTGGTTGGGATGGGGTGGCTGGAGCCAGGGTCTGCTCTTGAATCCATTTTTACAGATTCTCTCCAGCTCTTGCCTTGACAAAGCTGCATCGAGTGCCCAGGAGTGGGCAAGAGGGGCTTTGAATGTTGCCGCTTTGCCCGAGGGACTGTACAGGCATCAGTAAAACTCTGGGTGGGCATGAAGAGACACACTTATTACCATCTTGGCAGGCCTTGATGAGCCCCGAATCCATAACTAAATCATGCATCTTCCATTTTCCTATTTCTGCTGAGTGTGAGGCAGACAGTGTACTAAGCTTTGGTTTTGAAAATGGGATTTCTGTGTCTGCCTGTGACTAGGCTGAGGCAGGACTCTGCCATGGCATTGAGGGACCAGAGGCGAGGCTTCTGCTGAAGGAGAGCCCCAACCTGCCTGCCTACTCCCTTACTGTGTTGTCAAGTGCGTCCAAGGGAGGTAACAGTATGTGTCTGACGAGTGAATTCACAGTGAGTGAATGGGCTCAGCTCCCAGTAGCCAGTAGACCAGTTGTGGGTGGGGGGAGCCTTAGTGCATCTTCCACTCCCCCCTCATGCCAATGGGTCACCCAGGCCTGTCTGTCCAACTTCTGGGCTCTCTCTTTTTTTTAAAAAAATATATCTTTATTGATTTCAGAGAGAGGAAAGGAGAGGGAGAGAGAGAGACAGAAACATCAATGATGAGAGAGTCATTGATCGAGCCCGCAACCTGGGCATGTGCCCTGACCGGGAATTGAACCCTGATCACCTGGATCCCAGGTTGATGCTCAACCGCTGAGCCACACTTGGCCAGGCTTCTGGGCTCTCTTAACTCAGCTGGTCTCCATCCCCACCACTCTGGGGCTCTTGTCCTTTCTCCCCAGATTGTTCCAACAGTCTCTTAAATAGATCCCTGCTTCTGGTCTATCCCCTTCTACACTTCTTCTCCACAGCCTGGGAGTTCTTTCTAAAGCACAATCTGACCTGTCTCACTGGTGCTCAGAAGTTCTCAGTGGCTCCCCTTCCCCACAGGATCCTAAGAAATCCTTAGGCTTGCTAAAATTTGAGGACTGTTGCTTTAGGCAATTATATTGTGTGCCTTTGATATTCAAACACTGCTGCTTATTCGCTCTTTGGTTATGTTTTCCCATCTGTAAAATGGGGATATTGTAAAACATAAAATTGGACAAGGTTTGTGATGAACTTGGGACAGTGCCTGGCCAGCAGGAGCAGCAGGAGTTGTATTCATCCATTTTACAGATGGAGAAACAAGTTCAGTGAGGTTAAGTTGCTTGCCCAAGGCCCCACAGCATGTTGGCGATGAGCTAGGATTGGAGCCTGTCTGCAGGTACCTGATAGGGAGGGGAAGGAGGAATGCGTCAGGACACTAACCTGGCCCCTGGGTCATCCCTGTGTGTCTAGGTGCATGCAAGGGCTGCAGCAGGGGCTGTTGGTGTGGCAACAGGAGGTGCCCTCCCAGTTTGACTTGGCCTACGCTGACTTCCTCTCCCTGGACATCAGCATGCTGCGGCTCTTTGAGACCTTCCTGGAGAAGACGCCGCAGCTCACGCTGGTGCTGGCCATCGTCCTGCAGAGTGGCCAGGCCGAGTACTACCAGTGTGAGTAGTCATTCTGCCAGCAGCTAGCCCCACTTTCACAGCTTGGGAAAGGTTCCCACAAATCTCAGAAACGCTTTCACTCTTTTATAAGGACTGCCTAGGAAATAGGAGCACATCCTTTAGTCAGGCTGGTCTGGGTTCAATTCCAAAGTCAAATCCAAACACTGGCTGTATGAATTTGGACAAATGACTCAACCTCTCTGAGAATCGGTTTGTTTTCATCTGTAAAATAGACATAAATAATCCTACCTCATAGAATCGATGAAAGGATCAAGGGATGTGATGCATATAGGCCTAGTGCCTGGTGCATAATAAATCTTGTTACTTTTGCTATTTTGAGGACAACAGATAAAGTGTGTAGGGTGCCTGACACATAATAGGCAACTTGGTCTGTAACTGTTTATTGAGCACCTTCATTCACTTAAGTTTTTATTGAGCAATTCTGTGCTGGAAACACTGCAGTGAACAAGGACCAGCCCCTGCCCTGCTGGGCTGACTGTAAAGCAGGTAATTAAAGTGGGCTGAAAACGGAGAGGCAGGTGGCCTTATAAGCCATGGGAGAAGTTTGTACACTGAGGAGCTTTGGGAAGGTTTCCTCCTGTAAAAGGGTAGTATTGGGCTCAAGGTTGCAGACCAGCTGGTGGCCCAGCTAGGACTTTAACTCACTCATGTCTGATTCAAGGTCCAGGACTCTCCTTTCTCTGCCACCCCCTCCCCACCCCTTGTAGATGCCACAGACTCCCAAGGAACAAGTCTCCACTCTGCCATCACTCACCGTGTGACCTGGGGAATACTCCGGTAGAATTAATTGAAAAACACCAGTAATAGCGGCCATCATGATCGAGTGCCTACTATTGACCGGGCACAGTATAGAGTGCTTTATTGTCACATTCACAGCCTTGTAGGTTGGTGCTATGTTTATCTCCATTTTGCACAGAGGAAAGAGGTACAGAAAGGTAAAGTGATTTGCCCTGGGACACACAGCACTTAGGGGGCACACATTTCTGTTTGTCTGTTTGAGGGCAGTGGGTATCTAGGACCAGGGCCAAATGGATACAGTCTACACTGAATGTGTATGGGGGGTGGGGGAGAGGAATGATGGAAGAGACAGATTTCCCCAACTTTTTATTTAGCAAACATTTGTTCAGCTACTATTATGTGGCAAGTACTGGGCTGCCTGGGGACCCCAGGGGAGCAGAATCAGTTTCCTACCCTGCAGGAGCTCAGAGATAAGGAAATAGATAATTACTTCAACAGAAGTGAGTGGGGTGGGATCTGGATGGGTGGCTCTAGGGGATACTCAAGCTGGAACTTGCAGGGTAAGGAGGAGGAGGCCACGAGAAACGGGGCATGTGCTCCTGGCCTTCCTATCATGGGCAAAGCTGCGTGCCCAGAGAATGCGGCGTGCTGGGCAGACTGGAAGAATAGTCTGAGACTCAGAGTGTGCAGAGTTAGGATGATGGCCACAGATGTGAATCTAGGCTGCATGTGGGTTCCTGGCCCAAAACAGGTTCCCAGTAAACATCTATTGAATGGATGCAGTGGGAAGGAGGCCAGGGAGGAAGCATTCTAGAGACATTCCAGTGCTGCTTCCCTCCCTCCCTAGGGGCCCTGGTGCTTCTAGTCCATGGTGGACAACCAGGAGGTGGGATAGGATCCCCACTGTAAACTTTGAGTCTTGGAAAATTGAGAGCGGGGCCCAGTCTGAGCATGGAGGGGAGGGGAGTGAGGATGTCCAGGCCATACAGCAGGGCGCCTTCAGCCGGAGCCTGCTGCCATCTTGTGGGGTTTCCAGCTTCCCTTTCTTTTCTTTTTTAAAAAATATATCTTTATTGATTTCAGAGAAAGGAAAGGAGAGGGAGAGAGAGATAGAAACATCAATGATGAGAGAGTCATTGATCGAGCCCGCAACCTGGGCATGTGCCCTGACCGGGAATCGAACCCCGATCGCCTGGATCCCAGGTTGACGCTCAGCCGCTGAGCCACGCCCGGCCGGACAGCTTTCCTTTCTGAGACTAAGAAAGGGGAAACTGGGACTACTGATTTTCAGATGCAAGAAACACTTGGGCTCTTTCGGGAAAGGAAGGGTTACAGGGCTCTCTAAGATGCTCATGGTATGGCCAAGGCCCAGGGGTGTAGATGAAAGTGTATATGTCACACAGCCTCTTATCCGTAAAAAATATCACTGTGATAGCACCTGAAAAGTAAAGCTTTGTGCTGGAGGGCAGACCCCATATTTGAATCCCAAGCCTGTTTTTGGTTGTGAGAACAATGTTCTCTAGCTGTAGTTTTCCCTTCCACAACTTAGGGGTTCTAATACCCTCCTCAGGGTGGTTTTGAGGGCCCCCAGAACCTGCAAGCTCTGGGGAGTGCCAGGCAGGCTGCCCACAGGGCTCAGCTGTTCCCTCTTCCTCTCCGTAGGGGTCGGCATCTGCACGTCCTTCGTGGGCATCTCGTGGGCACTGCTTGACTACCACCGGGCCTTGCGCACCTGCCTCCCCTCCACGCCCGTCCTGGGGCTGGGCTCCTCCGTGATCTACTTCCTGTGGAACCTGCTGCTGCTGTGGCCCCGAGTCCTGGCTGTGGCCCTGTTCTCAGCTCTCTTCCCCCGCTACGTGGCTCTGCACTTCTTGGGCCTGTGGCTGGTGCTGCTGTTCTGGGTCTCGTTTCAGGGCACCGACTTCATGCCAGATCCCCACTCTGAGTGGCTGTACCGGGCAACAGTGGCCACCATCCTTTATTTCTCCTGGTTCAATGTGGCTGAGGGTCGCACTCGAGGCCGCGCCACCATCCACCTGGTGTTTCTCCTGAGTGACAGCATTCTCATGGTGGTCACCTGGGTGACTCAAAGTGCCTGGCTGCCCAGTGGGATCCCCCTGCAGGTGTTGCTGCTTGTGGGAGGCATCAGCTTCTTTTTGGGTCTGGTTCTGCGGCTTGTCTATTACCGCTGGCTGCACCCCAGCTACCCTTGGCAGCTTGCCCAGGTGGACGGGACCCACGCCTTCCGCTCCCTCGAGTGCTATCGGCTGCCTCAGAACAGGCGTGCTGACCATTTGGCTCAGAATTTTTTCCCCAAGGCTAGGGAGGAGGCTGCTTGGCCCCAGGAGGGAGAGGTAAATGGAGTCCTTTGAGGCAGGGTCAAACCCAGCCAGGGACAGAAGGACACGTGCAGTCAGTTAGATTGCAGGAGAAGATAAGCTAATTATGCTGCTGTGGGCCTTGATTCACTCAACAAGCTCTTGATGCCTGCTCTTGCCAGGCACCAAAGACCAGAGTTGAGTAAGACAGAGGCTGGCCTTCCAGGCCCTGGAGGTCAAGAGCCTCAATTATGTTCAAAGCACTTTGGGAAGAAAGAAGAGATCCTCTTTTCTGTACCTCCCAACCAGTATATCTGGTGCCCCAAACACCCCAGCGTTGGTATTTTCACCTCCGAAATAATTGGAGGAGGTGCTCTCCTACCCTTTGGTTCCCCTAGCCTGAGCTAGAAGGCCTTGACCTCCAGGATGTGTTCTCTAGAGTTCTTCCCCCTCTGCCCCACCTCAGTCATTCAATTCACTCACCAAATGTTTACCGAGAGCATTTTATGTGCCAGGGACATTATTTTATCCTTGGATCCTAGAACAAGATCAGCTGCCACCCTGCCCATCTCCAGCTGCTCCATGCTGGAGCCATGGATGCCCAACTGGCTGGCCTCCGTTAACCCCTCCAAGGCCTTAGTGCAGCTGGTCCAGCCTCTGTCCCTGCTCTCCAGGGGCTGCCTTTCAACCAAGTGCCTTGTGAACCTGTGGTCTGGGCCATGGTTAAGCTGGTTGAATATTTTTTTACACTTTAGACAGTGTATTTTCTACCTCAGAGTCTGTTGTGAGAAGGAGAGGTGTATGCGTGTCTCTGCAGGTGAGAGACATGTATGTGCTGTTTTGTTCAACAGTATTATTAGGTTATTATTAAAACCTTATAAAATCATAAAAAAAAATAAAAAATAAATAAATAAAACCTTATAAAATCCTACAAACTAGTTGTGTCATTAATCTAAATCTACAGAATTCAAAGCTGCCTGCAAAGAACGGGTCAGGGACACAAAATCCACTGCTCAAAATCGGTAAAGGCCCTGGGACAGAGAAGAGGGCTGGCTTAGGCAGGACTTCTCAATGTTGTTTTCTAAGTTTCAGGAGCCGGTGAGCCAGCGTGGGGTTGATCGTTCAGGTGGGATCAGAACCCTGGTCTGGATTGACAAGTGCTCTGCTGCTGGGCCTGGCAGGAGTAGCCACAAACACCTTTAGTGCCAGGAAGCAAATACAGGAGCCCAGGTGAAGGTCTTTTTGCTGGGAGCTCAGGTATCTTTTGCTGGGCCCTCCAGTGATGAGGTGGCTTGAGGGATGTGGAAGTGGGCAGTGGTGCCAGGGAGGTGGAGCCTTTTGCTGCTCTTGGGAGATCTGTGGTTTGGAGAAACACGTAACAGGAAAAGGGTGCTGGAGACAGAAGAAAACAGTCACCACTGTGATGGGACTCAGGACAGTCTCCGTTCCATGACTTGTTCTAGTGGAGACTCATAAGTAGGATAAGTAAGACAGTGTATCTGATAGTGTTAAGTGCTAACAGAAGTAGGGAAGGGGGCAGGGAGTGTGTGTGTTTTTGTGTGTTATGTGGGAGTTACAGTTTTATGTAGAATAGCTAGGGAAGGCCTCCCTGAGAAACCAAGCCCTAAAGGAGGTGAGGGAGAGAGCCATGCGCATGAATTTTATCCCAGACCCCAAGTCAGCAGGGACTGTATGAAGGAGGGCTTGTAGCTGCTATATTGGCCCACAGCCAAGCATGACACAGAGATGAGGGTTGGCAATAGGAAGAGGCTCCGGGAACATGATGCTGGTGCTTTTCTACATATATAACATAGTAGAGGCAGAAAGGACTTCCAGACTTCTAAATTTCATGGACCAGTAAAATGGCCAACACGGTCACCAATTTAATTTTGAACAAAAAAGGCAGTAAAAAGTATCACCATCTATTATCTTCATCATCTCTAAAAGAAAGGATATAATGTACTCAGGGAAAGGACCATTCTTTTAATTGAATACATTTCAACACACACATGCACACACACAACAGTGAAATAATTATCATTTTTCTTAACCCATAAAGAATGTCAGGTTGAGACCCCAGACGGTGGGCTAAGTGCCCAACTTAGCCTTGGACGTAGATCCTAAGTTTCACTAAATCAAATACTTGCTCCGTTTACTTTTCCACATTTCTTCCTGTCGTATGTGGAGACTAGACTCAGGGGAGATGCCAAATATATCAACAGAAGGTGCAAAGTAGGGAATTCCCTATTTTCCCCTGAGAAAACATCCCCAAAAAGATGTTTTTAATTTTTTGCCAAAGTTCTATACTCTAGATGAAGTTGTCAAATGATGGCAATATATATGCAATTAACTCCAAAGTAGACTAAAAAGCTATAGAAAAAGCTTCATTTGTATATACACTTAAAAGTTTACAGAATCAAAGACTTTACAAAGATGAGTGACATTACATGCCATTAGGAATTTCTTTTGAAGATTCCTGTCAATCCTTTTTTTCAAAATGTCAATAAACCTATTTTTGAAGAATGAAAACCTCTTGAATTGCCTGCCACCAAAAATTTTTTGAGAAGTGTGCAGATGTTATACTTATTGCAGAGGGAGACGGAGGCGTTTACTCTTTGGGCTTGAGCAGCAGTCAATACTCTAATATTTGTACTTAAAAGCAAGTAAGGATCTAGCAACTCACAAGTTGGCTTCATTGTGGTTCCAGCATGTGCATCTTCTTTTTTTAAATAAATAAAAATTTTTGCCCTAAATCCTCACCCAAGGATATGTTCTATTGATTTGAGAGAGAGGAAGGCGGGGGGTCAAGGGGGAGACGTAATTGGTTGCCTCTCGTAAGTGCCCCGACGGGAAATCGAACCGTCAACCTAGATATGTGCCCTGATCAAGAATTGAACCAGCAACCTTTTGGTGTACAGGCTGATGCTTCAACTAACTGAGCCACCCGGCCAGGCCAAAATATGCACTTTCTGATGAAAAGATTTAATGCCTAGAGTACATAGCAACCCCCTCTTTTCTAGGGCAACTTGGGAGAAAATACATCTTGTAGTCTGACATGTATGGTGCTTGGAAGCTAGAACTGAATTCTGATTTGCTTCACTGGAATAAAAGGCAAAATAATTCTTGATTTTTCCAGACCAGTAACGCACAGTCAAACCCAAACCTGAAGAAATGAAATGAGAAAAAGTAGCTGATGTGACATGAAATCGGGCCAAGTCAAACAAGGTTTGATGTCAGTTTGTCCGTTTTATTGCTTTTGCGTTTTAAGCTCAGCACAGCAAGTTACTCTCTTTAATAACTGAGTTTCAGCACATTTGACAGCAAATGAAATCTCTCATCATACCAGTCCTAAACTTTAAAAAGCAATATATTCTATAGACAATTAAGAAACTTTCCCTTGCACATTATTTTAAAATCTTTTATTTTCCCATGTACATTTATACCAAATGGTTAGTCACTTGGTTTCTACGTTTTTGGTGAAATTAATGACTCATTTATTAAAAGGGCGCTATCTTTTAATGAGTGCTTCAGGTTTTTATGAAGCCTTACTTAGTTTCCTACCAGCTGGGCGGATCCTATTCAGAAAAGACACAGGAGGAAACTGTATAGAAAATAAAAACTTTATTTTTTTTCAAGTTTACAAGATAGTTCCCATTACATATAACATTATGGTCAAAGACTCTACAGCCACGAATGCCCGCAGTCACATAAATATATCCAATTCAAGCAATGCCTTTTACTGCTAAATGAGGCATCTGTAATCCAGAGGGGCAGGTTTCGAGAAGTCGTCCTTAATGGGATGGCTCCTGTCAGTGCATTAGGAACTAGCCTATGAGCCTTGCTTTCTAGAGCTGACTGAGGAAAGGAAGGAACAGAGGGCCTGCTGATCTGGACGGAAAACAACTAGATTTTCTCTCTTGTGGTTAAAGATGTTTTAGAATCTGCCCTGGCCAGTGAGGCTCAGTTGGCTGAGCATCATCCCATGCGCCAAGAGGTCCCCATCAGGGCACATGCCTGGGTTTTGGGCTCAATATCCAGGATGGGGTGTGCAGGGGGCAGCCGATAGGTGTTTCTCACTTCTCCCTTCCCCTCTCTCTAAAATCAGTAATATATATATATATATATATATATATATACACACATTTTTTAAAAAAAGATATTTTAGAACCTCAGAATTCAGATTTGGCTTGTATAGTGTGAATCTGGGGAGTTCCAACTTTTGGATGAAAAAGGAAACCAATTTAGTGGTAAGAAACAGGAACTTGCTTAAGAGGGGTCCTACTTGTCCCTTCCTGCAGGAGTGAGAGGAACGCCCCAAGTTCACCACCCCTGGGCTTAGGCCATCCCTCTCCCAGGAGAAGAATAGCTCTGCCCTGCTTCTCCTCTCTCCCATGCTTCAGCGGCACTGACACCCATTCAAAGGAGTGGACATCTAGAAGCTCCGTATGCTGCAGCTGGAGTTTGCCAGTCAGATTCTACTTGGGAGCTTTAAAGATGAGTTTGTGTAAACTGCGAACAAGCTGTGGCACAAGTCTCCTGGGATACTAGCTTTGCCCCACCCCCACCCCCCAACTTGCAGAGCAGAAGACAGGAACACCCCAACCAAATAAAAGTATCTAAATCTGGAGCAGGAACCATTCTCCTGGACACCACCAGCTGCCCCAGGGGCACTGGACAGGGTGATGCTAAGGCACAGTCAGTTTTACATTCGAGAGTCAAGCCATCTCTTAAACCCAGGACACACTTGAAAACTCCAGATCCCTTACTAGAGATAGTCCTCAACACAAAATGTGCAGACCCATACTATAGAACCCCACCTCCACCTGGGGGAAGGATTCATCATGTGGCTTATCTCATGGGGACTTTTTCTAGTAAAGAGGGCTTCCATCTTGACGAAAGGACCCCCACTATCCTTGGGCCCCCAGCTTCTAAGAGCTCTTGGTGCTACCCACTTGTTTTCCTTTCCAGATCTTTGTTCTGGGAGGAGGAAAACACAGGGTAAAAGAAGAGGACTGTTCCCTGGACAATTCATTTTGGCAAAGAGGAGCCAGGTCCCATTTTCTGCCTGAACCTCTAAATGAGGGTGGCAACAACCAGAAAACAGCAAAGGCTGCTCTGCTCAGAGCTTCTTCACCTCTTGGTCAATTTCAAGTTCTTTTACCAAAGACCCAGGCTGGGCAGTCAGGGCAGGAGGGAAAAGTTAACTGAAAAAGGGGTCCAAGTCATATTATAGGAATAAAGAGCTTCTCCCAAAGGGCAGGGAGAGGGAGGGGTTTGTATGTGGACCTGGGTACATGATGGGGGTACCACTCCAGTCTCACAAGCCTGAAGCACAGCACCAATCGGGTGGCCTATGTCCAGGGCAGGAAACCAACAGTTACACTGCTGGTAGGTGGAGGGCTTGGGGCCTGGAAGAAAAGACCCACCCTAGAGCTTTCTAAGATCAATTGTCAATCAAGGCAGAGCAACATCTGGGCAACTGTGTTGAACTCAGACCAAGGCAAGGTCTGCCTCAGGCTACATAATCCCCCCCAACCAATGGAAACAAGGCCAAAGCAGCAGCTAAGTAATGGGCACTGACTTCAGCTCCTCTCCAAAGGCCTCTTCCCTAAAATTGTGTCATGAAGCAGTTTCTCAATCAGTTATGAAGGAATGTGTATGAACAGCCTTTCTCTGCTATATGAGTGACCTGGCCTTGGGAGGAGTATGGCCTCTTTGTGCTACAACATCCCTAGAAATGAATATGCAGAATCTTTGGGGACAAGCAAGTATAGGTGGGGTTGGTCAAGGATGCCTCCTACTGAGAACCTAGACTACACCTCTCTGAGGTGCAGCCTGGGCCAGGCTGAACTTACTCAGCTCCAGGGAAGTTTATCCAGCCTGAGCAGATGCCCAGGCTGGTCTTCGAGGGATGGAGCATCCACAAACACAGTTGGGCTAGAAGGCTGGGACTAGTATACCTGGCACCTACCAGTCTTCCCAGAGGTCAGGCTGGGAAATGTTCCTGCATTTGGCCCAGGATTAAGTGAGTAGGGGACCTCGCAACTTCATTTAAAACAGGAAAGCCTTTCTGGCTTCTGGTTTTCCATTTTAGATTTGAGAAGTGGGAAGGGTGTACCATGGGAAAATTGGGTTTTGATCACAGCAATCTCTTCTTCAGTTTCAGACAGAGACCTGGGTAAATATATGCCTAGAAGACCCTTCATAGGGCTTATGGGCTTCAAAGGAAGTCAACTACATTGGTTGACCAAATGTAGTTATGAGCCTGTTCTTAGACTTAATTTAGACTTCTTGGGTCCAAAGGGATTGGCCAGAGCTGCATGGAGGTCACTGTGAGATATGCAGGGCAGGAATGGGACAGGAGCCTACACTGATGACTAAGAAGGAAGAGAAGGCTGTAGGGTGAGCATCTGTTGGGGGACGAGTGCTTCTCTGCAGGAGAAAAAGGTGGAATCTTCCTGTTTTGAGAACCAAAGAAGCGGTAATTCACAAGAAGCCTTAGTCCATTATCTCCAGTTTAGAGGTAAGCCCCTGGGACATAGTCTTTGAATAAAAGAGTCACGCTGAAGGCTCAGCATTTACTGTCTAAGAGAAGGAGTTTCCAGGATTGTGCCATTTGGTTAAAGGGGAAGAGGGATTACAAAGGGGACTAAGGCTTCTAGGATGAGAAATACCAAAGTCGAAAGTTAATCAGTGTCCAGTGCCCCACAGTTCAGCAAACTTGGAGATGGAAGAACAGGAGAGAAACCATCCTAGACAGCAGAACACTGGAGCAGCTAAAGAGGTGCTACTGTCACAGAGAGGTATTCTAGACATTTCAATTATTATTTTCCAAGGAAACTTTACACACCCCTTTCTTGACAGAAAAAGGAGGAAAAACCTGCTTCAGAGACCAGACCCTTACCTATAAAAATTACATACACATTCACTGGGAATATGTTCTACAGCTAAGGAGATTATAAAGACTGCAAGAGATGTTATTACAAAAGTCTGCCACATTTATCCTATCACCACAAGTTAACAGCAGTTCTCAATCAGGTTATGGACGAAGAGTGCAACTCTGCCCCAAGAATTTCCTTTTGTTTTTTTTCTTCATTTTTTTGAAACAAAATAAACAAAACAAAAAACACAAGAATTAAAAGCACTGTAGCTTCAGTGAGTCTACTGTTCTCTCAATCTAATTGTCTCCTGCTTCTGCACGAGGATGAACATGGGGCTGCAGCTCACTCTTAGCAAAAATAAGCTTCATCCCTTGCAGCTGTTGGTTCTGATTGTGTTCTCGCCAGCATTCCACAGAGAAAGAGAGTTCCCAGTCGGTTCCGGTCTCCAGCTCCTTTTAGGAGTGAAAAGCAGCTCATGGGGAAGGCTCTTCATTCCAGTTCTTAGAGAAAATCAAGCTCCAAAGCCTGGTGGAGGGACACTAGGTCTCCATGGTTTGTGATCCTCCAGAAAGGCATGTTGTGCTGGAAGAGAGCAGGGACACCCGGTTAACTCAACTTCTTTTGGGAGGTCATATTTACCCAAACCCCCTTCTCCACAGACTTCTCCCCAAGGTATCTGGTAATCCTGTCTACTCCTGTGCACCTCATGGGGCTGTCATAAGGATCAAATAAGTCATATATATAAGGACTTTGTACACTTTAGGACACTCTACAAATGGGAGAGATTTTCATTACATTTCAGTGGTAACGCTATGCTTTTATGGGAGATATACTTATTCTAGCTGCTATCTAGGGTCCTCAGGATCAAATAAAATAGCCACATAAGAAATTAGTATTAATATTACATTTTCTTACAGATAACCAATTTCCTATAAGTTACAGAGCTACAAGGCCCAAATTTTGTCCATCACCAAGATTCAGAACATACAGATCTGGGAAATAATAATCCCATTATAAAACGTGGTCAGAGTTATGTCCAGTAAACTGTGTGCCATTCTGAAACCTTTTAAAGGGCTTTGACAAATGCATATGTTAGAAACTATATTCTATGAAGCTGAAGGAGATTAGCTTTACTGATTGTCTTGTTCAAATAGGTTACAAATTACCCAGAATTTTGAAGTCCTAGAATGGTTCTTTTGGCATGTAACTCAATGTTTTTTCTAGCTGCTTGTGCACACATACTATTTAAAAGGCTTTTACTATAGAGAAAAGGAAGCAGCTTGTTACGTTGTACTCAGGAGTGCCAGACTAGGACCAAAATGTGAAAGTGAGAGAGATAAATTTAAGTTCAGTGGAAGGTGGAACAGCCTAACAGTGTGGACAACCCCACAATAGGATACGTGGGAAGCAGCCCTCTATCCTTGGGTGTGTTCAAGTAAGGACTAGAAAGTCTTCTGTCAAAAAGGCTGCAGAAAAGATCCCTCACAGAGTGGGGGCTGAACTGCACAGAGGCTCTAAGGCATCTTCCAACAGATATATTTTCTGGTAGATGATCACAGGTATCAGCTTAGAGACACCAACTCTGCTAATAAATTGGGTTGTTCTTTATCTCCCTGACCCCCTCTTCAGACCAAGAAGTACTGATATCTACATTCACTCGGTATCTTTCCCAGAGGGCAACGAGCACTTTAGAATCAAAGCTTCAAAGATAGTACATGAGAAAAAATAAAGGCCCTTGAATTGCTACATAAAGTGGCAAATGAAAACAAAATGTGTTAATAATGCCAACTGAGCACCACCAATCTCATAGTTCATTAATAGCTGCTGAAGGTTTGTATGTTACTGAATGAAGAAAATTAGGACAGTGGTCCTAGCTGGTAACCCACTGTCTCCAAGTTTAAGAAATAGAGTTGCTAGAAGAAAGCTGGGGTAGAAGGGAAAGAACCTATGTAGATCCATTTAGCAGATGAGGAAACTCAGACAGGATTAAGTAAATGGTCCAAATTCACACAGCTTATAAATGACTCGGATTTGAACTGGTGTGCTTTTAGATTCCATTGCCAAGACTCTTTCATCTGTTTCCTGTTTTAAGAAGGGACAACCTGAAGTTGGGGCCTGCATAGTGAGGAGGATAACATCAGAACAATCTTTCCAGGGCTCAGAAGCAGAAAGGACTTTTTCTAAATAACTCCTCATTGATTGTAATGGTTTTTGAGACTCTGAAGCCTGGAAAAGTCAGAATTATTTGCCTTTTTGTAGCCAAGTCTCATGCTCTTCAGAAGGAATTGCCCAAAGTTGAACTATGATACAGCTGCCGGAGAGGTGCTAATCCACCCCAGAGAGAGTGCTGGAGCTGGATCACCCTTCAGAGACGAAGGTCTGAAACTAGAGTTGTGTCCCTACCCCCACCAGTAACTGGAAGCAAGCTGTCTCTGGGAAGGTGATGTAACCTTGGGCAAGGCAGCTTCTGCTGAAGGCAATTCTGGGAGAGGGACTGTGAGGGAACAGCAGCCAAGATCAGGAGGTGGCTAAGGAAATGAGTGCCTCAGTCCTGCTGGAGGTCTGACCACAGCACCGTCTACAGACAATAAATTCTCTGGTCAGTCATACCAAAACATTACTTCTCTCAGCTAAGACACTGATAACATCTCAGCAAACAATGAGTTCATATTTTATGCTTCAGTATTACCCTGAACTACAGATTTTTTGTGTTTTAATTTAAAAAGACTCAATGTGTATTATCAGACAGTTCAAAAGTCTAATGTCCTCTGTAAGAACTGTGAGGCCTAACCCCTCCACCCTCCAAAAATGCTTCTGAATGAAGGTCACTACCTCTCCAAGTATATAAATGATCCAAGGAAGTACACTGAAGATCAGGTTCAGACTCTCCTTAGAATTTTTTCCTTTCCAAAGCATATACAAATGAAAGGTCCTGAAATTCCCAGACTATTTTCTTTACCATGGTTACCTGTTTGGCTGCAATTTCTTCATCTCGTCCATCTCCAATCACTACATACGTGACTTTCTTTCCAAACCTTGACACAATTCTCTCAAAGCAGCTCTCTTTACCTGATGAGAGAAAACAATTTCCTATTAGGACATTCTGCCCTACCTTTTTTTCAACACCAAAGAAAAGGGCTGCTGCTAGGTTCACTTGCCTATGCTTAGACAAAGTGAGTGGCAGCCCCTGAAGTTTGCCTGGTGGGGAGTAGGAGTGGCAGACAGAGATCCAGTAGGCCCTCTGGATCTATAGTGACAACTGTGAGCACCACTTCCCTTTTCCACATCTCTTGTACTTTACAGCTTACAAAGCAGTTTTCAAATTATTCCTTATTTAATTTTCAAAATAATCCAGTGAGATGGGTACCATACCCTATTTTAACAGAGGAAATAGGACTAGTGACTTGCCCCTGATCCAAACAAGCTTATAGCTAGACTTTGGGCTCCTGACTCCAAGTCTAGGCTCTGGACATTGTGAAAGGATATTTCTGAGAGGAAACTGTTTTAGGGTAGGAAAAAGAAGTATAAGTATAAGTATAAGGACTCGACTTCTTGATAGTAATAAGAAATAGACAAATAGCCATTTCCCTCCAATTCTTCATTTTCCAGAAACAGTCTTAGGCGTGAGCCTTATGTCTTTCAGTGGGGGAGGAGGCCCAGAGTACCAATAAATATGGCAGCTACATTTGTCACATCTGGAGTTCCCTCACTATTATACTTGCAACTGCAACTGAGATACTGTATCACTGAACTAAACCTTGGAAAATGGGTGATTTCAATACACTGCACACTGTTTTTAGATATATGGCAATATATAAAAATTCAAATCCCATCTGGAACCTACACCTAAAACAGGCACAGATGATACTGCTTTTTATTTGCAGAAATAAATAAAAAGGAAATTATTTCCATTACCATCTCTTATATTTTATTTCCCTACTTCTGTCACTTCCTTCAGTTAAGCAAGGTCCTAACTCTGCTTCCTTCTTCATCCTGCTCCATTAACACTCTTGTTCTTTCTTCTTGCCAGATCCAGTGACTTAACACAGGGATCCCTGTGCAAATAAAAAGGTGTCTTTGCCTGGCCAGTGTGTCTCAGTGGTTGAGCATCGACCGGGTCAGGGCATATGCCCAGGTTGCAGGCTCAGTTCCCAGTAGGGGATCTGCAGGAGGCAGCTAATCAATGATTCTCTCTCTCATCACTGATGTTTCTATCTCCCTCTCCCTCTCCTTTCCTCTCTCTGAAATCAATAAAAACATATATATTTTAAAAGTGCCTTTTCCTCAAGGCACTTGACTGCCATCTGCTGGAAAATTGTTGTAAAAAACATACAAATACACAAATTTAAGATAACTACATCGCAATCGACAAGCACCTATGTACCCATACTCAGAAGTCCTGCTTGGCACATCTGAGTAACTGCAAGTCTTTGACATCCCTAGCTCAAGTGGCATCTCAAACCAGGTTGACTGACTAGTCACCTGGACCAGACACTGGTACACTCTGGACTTTAGCCTCCTACTTTTAGTACAAGGCTTGGCTTAGGTATACTTAGGTCCCTTTCAGTGCTAACATCTTACAATAGTATTGTCATGGTTTACATTCATATCAGGCATTTAATCAATGTTTGCTAAGTGCATATTAATCTCACAACTGACTCAATGGATGATTGTAGTCCATGTCTTGAGCCCTAATTAAAATATGAATTCTACTAATAATGAATTATTATGTTCAAAGAGTTCTTTGTCTAATTCCATTCCATTATATCCCTACAACCTAATCCAACCTCTGCTAGACCCATAGTCTAATTTATGATCTGTCTATATAAAAAAAATTTTAAGTCAGAATTTTAGACTTTTCTCCAAGGCCCAATGAAGGGAATGTCTCATATTTAGAGGACAAGAACACAGATGTTTTCACTGTCCTGGCATGCAATGATAAAGAATGAAATACATTTAGGTATGTCTCCTTTAAAAGGATTAAGAGACTAAAAGAGTTAGTAACAACTCAAACTGTAAAGAAATGACTCCAATACAGTTGGTAAATAAATTTCTTCCATTTTATGCTCTCAAAACAATCCTGGACATGGGTTTTCCTGCTCAGGAAGATGAGGCCAATGACTAGTCAGCTTACCAAATGTAACATCTGTTAAGTGCAATAAAACGAAGTATGCCTGTACTTGGTACTGAATATATTTTTAGGGGTTAAGAAGTACCTTAATATACACAGTCTCATTTGATTTTCACAACCTGTTAGTTTCACATTTTACATGAGTAAACTGAGGATCAGGAGATAAAGTAATTTGCCTATGGAAAGAGCTAGTAAGTGGGGAAGCAAGTCATTACTTTTTTGCCTTTTCAAAAAATCACAGTAAAAGAACACATAACCTAAAATTTATCATCTTAACCATTTTCAAATGTATATTTCAGTAATGTTAAGTTACTCACATTGTTGTGCCACATATCTCCAGAACTTTTTCATCTTGTGAAACTGAAATTCTATACCCACTAAACAACTCCCTATTTTCCCTTCCCCAAAGCCGTTAACCACCATTCTACTTTCTATTTCTATGAATTTGACTACTCTAGGTACCCTATATAAGTGAAAACATACAGTATTTATCTTTTTGTGATTTACTTTACTTAGCATAATGTCTTCAAGGTTCAAATATGTGGTAGCATGTGACAAGATTTCCTTCCCTTTAAGGCTGAATAATATCCCTCTGTATGTAGATATACCATTTTGTGTATCCATTCATTGATGGATATCTGAGCTGCTGCCACCTCTTGGCTATTATGAATAATGTTGTTATGAACATGGTGTGCAAATATTTCTTTGAGATCGTGCTTTTAATTCTTTTGGATATATACCCAGAAGTGGGATTGTTGGATCATATGGCAGTTCTAGTTTTAATTTTTTGAGGAACTGCCATACTGGTTTCCATAACAGTAGCATCATTTTACATTCCCGCCAAAAGTGCACAAGGGTTCCAATTTCTTCACATCTTCACTACCACTTGTTATTTTTCTGTGTGTTTTTATAGCAAGCATCCTAACAAGTGTGAGGGGTTTAACCATTTTTAAACATACAGCTTAGTCCTTGATTTTTAATCTAGTGACTTTTCTATTACACTATACTGCAGCGCTCTCTCTATGAAAAAGAAATCTGAAATGAGGCAAAAGTAGATTTGTAAACTAGATATTATGTTCTTTCAAATATTATAAAGAAAAAGAGAAAGATAAGTTTTAAGTCCCACAGATCTGGATTTGAATGCTGTTTATGTAACTTACTATCTGTGAAGTCTTGTGCAAGCTACATAACTGTTAAGCTTGAACTGCCTCATCAGTAGTATCAGAAGGCTGCTGTGAGGAATATATATATGGTCTAACAGAGGGACTGGTATATAATAAGTGCATCATAAGTAGGAAATATTATTGCAATGCAAGTGACAAGAAACAGAATAGAAACCATACCAATTTTGGTAGCACTATAGATGTTTTCAATAGGAAATATTTCTCCAAGTCCATATAGGAGAACCTTGGCCAGAGCTGGAACCAGCTGGGTTGTAGTGATCAGAACATTCACACAATTCTTCCTAAAAGGGAGAAAGAAGGAAAAAAGAAAAAGGTGAACCTACCCAGGAGCAAGTATTCAAAAAGATCTCATCTTTAGGATCTAACTATTAAAAATCAACCTTAAAGGGCCTGGTATGATATTTGTTCAGTGCCAATGTTCAGTTATTGCTCTAATTATCTCAGGTTTATTTACTTTCCATATTAAAGGACAGAGATTCTATAGTGGGCACAGAGCAGCAATTTGATTCTTGCCTTATTTCCCTCTGACTATTCTAGCTCACTGCACCTGTTAGCAATTAACCATCAACCCATGTCATTGATACCACTCTCTAGAAAACAAATGACAAAGACTTTCAGTTACATTGCTATTTCATCTGAATGCAACCCAGCTCTTAAATGAGGTATGATTTAAGTCCTCTCTGCTGTTTACACAACAGCAACATAGATTCCACAACACACATTAATTTCACAGGTCCTATATAAACTTCACTGAATAACCTCGGTGTCAGTTTTACTGTCTGCTCTATTAGGTTATAGATCTAGAATTCCTGCTTTGAGGAAGGAATCAGTAAGGGACATTGGTACAATTATGACTGTATTTATTTCCTATAATAAGCTTCAAGCTGAAGTTTCCTTAATCTGCTTAATGTACCCTTTTCTTTTGAATCCTGCCTTCCTGAGTAAGTTTTGATACATTTCTTTGGAGCTTCCTATACTTAGGATATTTGAGATATGTCTTATACGTATTCTTTGATGTCACCAGGCCCATCTCCTGGGCTGGAGATTTTAAGTTACTGAGTTTTAATTTTGTGAGCAAAAAATAAGGGGAAGCCCTGGCTGGTGTGGCTCAGTTGGTTGAGCATTGTGCCATGCACCGAGAGATCGATGGTTTGATTCCGGTCAGGGCACATGCCCAGGTTGCTGGCTGGATCCCCAGTAGGGGGCCTGCAGGAGGGAGCCGATCAATGTTTCTCTCTCATTGATGTTTCTCTCTCTCCCCCTCTCCCTTCGTCTCTCTCTAAAATCAATAAAAACATATTTTTTAAAAAAGTAAAGGAAGAAAGAAAAAGGCTTTCATATATATTCTCTTAAAACGCTAAGTGTGTTGTTGGTATAACTGACCCTGCTTCTCGCCTAACCTAAATACTTCCTTGCTTCATTTAAACTCCTCTCACCCCACCCTAAATGCTATTTTAGGGAATGACTGTCCTAGACTAGTGTTGGAAAGAGTGTGTCTCTGAGGGGATGAGACCTACAAGAACCATTTTCATACCTGGACTTGATGAGAAGTAAGGACTTTAATGCAGTACCTAACCAGGAATCTGTTAAAACTTCAATTTCTGCTCTTAGTCTCTGCAGTGCTTCCTTTCTCTGGGGACTGAGAAGGCCTTTGGGAAGAAAAGCAGAAACATTATCATTTGACAACATATCCTTGCTGACATCGAACAAACAACTTCTAAACTCATTTGAGAAATAGTGTGTCACTGAAATGTTCTACTGAGCTAATATAGTTTTCTTCTTAGTAAAACCCTAGAGTAGTCTGCTCAAAATGCCTTTTTGACTTTCTTCATCAGAATGTTTGTAAAGGGCACAACAACCAAATCAGATGAAAACACTGTGATTAGTGAGATTCTGGCACAAGCTCTTTCATCATGAAATCAGCAGCAGAACCTGCAGACTGGTGGACTATACCCTGAGGAGCACTGATTTAGACATGGCTCCAAGAACCAAAGGGTGAAAAAGTAAGTGTTAGAGCTGGGAGAGTCTAAAGAAACCAGAACCCAGGGAGGAAAGCAGTGCTAAGATCACACAGAAAGTTAGTAGCTTTTGGTCTCAGAAGTCTTTCCACTACCATACACTGCTCCCAATGTGACTGTTTTTTTATACCTTTCAGAATCATCAATCTGAGATCCCAGGTTGAAAGACCAACTCTCTGAATGTCATTTACTTGTACTGTACTTATATCTGAAACAACTCCAGCTAATAAGAGACCAAAAACATTGCTATGATCACATAATTAAGCATAATAAAACAGAATTCATCTGATGAGAGCATGTTATCAGACACTTGAGTTATAATATTCAAATAATAAACCTGGCTTGGAATTTTCTATAGTGAAGGTAAAAAGAGAAATCCTGTATTCTATTACTAATATTCCATAAAAACAGAAGGCATTTCTGTGAGGACTAGAACTGCGTATACTGTTTTCAGATGGATGGTTTCGCAGTGCAAGCCTAGAATTAGATGACTCTCAATGCTTCTAATAAAAACCAATACCTCTAATCATGTATGATATACACATAAATATATATATGCCATATATTTAAATGATGTGGCACTTTAATAATGTAAAATGTTTACAAAATACAGGTGGACATTCTCACAGAGGGTTATATTACTTTCTACAGGAAATTAGGTCCAGGGATTCACTAGGCAGAGAAAGAATCATATACTTAAATTCTATTCTCAAAACCCAGATGCCCATGACTTTTACCTGGTATTAGAGGGCTGTAACAGGAACAAGCCAAACTGACCTTCAAAGCCCTATTTTTACTATCTACACCCCAGGAAGTGATAGCATGGTATGGTAGGAGGGTTCTCTTGACCTGGGGTAATGTATCTCTAAGTAGTCTATGGAATCCCTAAAATTTCATGCAACATTTTGTGTGTATGTAGAAGTCTGGGGGTGATGGCTCACAGTTTTAAATATTTTCTCATAAGAGTATATCACTAAAAAAGAACTGCATAAATGTAAAGTGGACCAAGAATTAAGGGGTGTGGATTCCCACTGTGGTAGGTCATTAACTTGCTATGGTAGCTGCCTTTGTTACTTTCATGACGGACATCAGTTTTCTCAAATGCAAAAGAAGGAATGTAGATATCTAATGTCTCTTCTAATATGGACAATCTATCACTAATTAATTAATTCCAAATAATAGAATTTTAGGCCTGGTGGCACCTGACATATGAGATATTTATAGGTAGAAGATATTTCCAAGGTCCTTCAAATCACAACACATGGATACTGCCAACCTATACTCCTGAACCTAGTTTTCCATCTACTATAAGCCTAGTGACTTGTCCTGATATATTAGTTTAAAAAAAATAAAAAAATAAGACAACCTATTAACCGGTATTGACAGTAGTTTTGACTCCAGAATAAAACTCATCACCAAATATAATCAACAGAACACATTTCCTTTAAAAAAGGCATTTGTCTAAAAAGAACAAGAGAATTTTGCGAAGTCCATGAGAAATGCAGAGCTTCCTCCCCGAAGGGTTTTAATCAAACCTCCATGTTTTTAAACACAGAATTAAAATGTTACTGTGGCACAAATTCATAAGCAGTTGCCAGGGAGTTCTAAGGAATCCTTGGAAAAGAAAGCAGGAAATAAGAAGGAAACAGAAAATCGGACTGGTTGTATGCCGCACTTACCGCCCACGTTGCTTTTATGCTTATCATAGATTTCTCTCACTTTTCGGTAACGAAAAGCCAGTTTTCTCATCCAGTCCACACCTCCCTGCACACCCACAGAGGAACCATGGCTGCCACTGCCTCCTGAGCCACTGAAACCATCTGTTGAGAAACTGTAGTTGCTGCGGAATAGAGGATAATGGAAATTACAATCTATACCGCATGGTTTTTTTGGATGAATGCCACCTGGGATTCTGTCATATTCCTGGCACCTGACACCAAGGCTGCTGGTGCTGAGAATCTTGCCCTATGTCTGTGTGTCAGAGTCTGTCTTTCACTAGTCCTCTCTCTCATGCCTGCAGCTTCTATGAGAGAAAGGACGAAGTCCAGCACCAGCACCCCATCTCCCATCCTGCAGGTGAGCTTAAAGTGAGGCACCCTGTCATTAAAGGCAGAACAGTTGACAGTGATAAAGGCCAGGATATAAAATTTCTGTGTATGTACATACAAAATGATTGCAACTATGTAAAAAAAAAAAAAAAAAAAAAAAAAAAAAAAAGGAAAAAAAAAAAAAAAAAAAAGTAAAAGAATAATGGAAGGTAATAACCCAAAATACTAATACGAGTAACATAATAGGGATGTTCTCTTTCAGTGATCTGTTGGCTAGTTTATTAAGTTCATGGTTCACGGGTGGCTTTAAAATATGTCCACAGCCCGGCCGGGCGTGGCTCAGTGGTTGAGCGTCAACCTAGGATCCAGGCAATCGGGGTTCGATTACTGGTCAGAGCTCGGTCCCCAGTTGGGGGCATGCAGGAGGCAGCTGATCAATGACTCTCTCTCATCACTGATGTTTCTCTCTCTCTCTCTCCTCTTCTCCTTTCCTCCCTCTGAAATCAATAAAGATATATTAAAAAAAATAAAAATAAAGTATGCCCACAGATTCTTAAGTACCCCACTAATTCTGCTCCCTTTGGGTATTTGAATGTAAACAGAATATGGTGAAGTGATGGTGTTAGACTTCAGAGACTAGGCTTCTTTTGCTTTCTCTCGGAGTGCGTGCTCTGAAAGAAGCCGTCACATGAGAACGCTCAAGCTGCACCATGCAGAGGCGCTATGATATAATGTTTAAGACTGTCTTCCATAGGGCTATTCCTCACACCATCAGATCCCCATGACTAGTCTTCTTAGTAAAATTCATGATGCCTATTTGTATCTAAAACTAACCAGTGTGGATGCACACTTCTGACTGAAAATCTGGCCAAAGAGAAACTGGTATATCCTTTCCTTTGGAATGCTTTTTCCTTTTCCCATCACTGTTCACCGTTCTTCAGAGTCACACTCAAATTCTACTGCACAGGAAAGGCGACTCTAATGTTGGCCTCCACCTGCTCCCCCACACCCATCAGAACTGCTATCTTTTCTGTGCTCCATCACATTTTCTATTGTCACCTCCTACCGCACGCCGTCGTTAACTGTCTGCCGCCTCTAAGAGACTGGGAGCTCTTTGAAGGCTATGTCTTACTCATCTTCGTTTCCCCTCTAAACCTAGACTGTGTCTTGTGCATAACAGGTGTACTGATATTTAAGGCATCATTGTTTTTATCACCTTAAGTCTTGGCCATTGTCATCAGAAGCCACATCTTCCACATGCACTTGGTCACATTCCTGTTAAAAAACAAAACCATACACTGTTTCAGTCCAGCGAATAGTAGTGCTATTACCACCATGATATATTGTAAAAATACCACAAACAGTGGTGGAATGATGAAATACCTTATGGCTTCTCTTACAGTTGGAGGATCACTCTCACCCCCCTTGCTGTCCATCTTCTTTTAAGGCCTAATTCATATACCACAGTCTTCATGAAATCTTCCTTAACCAGCCCAATCCTCATTTATGCTCTTATCTCAATAGTTCATTTTCCCAACAGCTCATGGGTATGAGCACAAGCTCCCTTACATTGTCAGGTGTGTTTATGTTCTATACTAGATTGAAAGTTCCATTACACTGCAGGCCTCTTATGGCACAACCCCTATCTCACATCTCGTTTGTACCCTTCCAGTCTAGTCCAGTGACTTTATGCAGCATGTACCCAATAAATTCTTGCAGAAGAAACAGATGTTGGTAGAGTGTAGTATCACGACTGAAAGCGACTGAAACAGAAATTTATAAATTCAAACTTGGTACTCAGAAGTCAGATCTAAGTCAATCTCCTCATGTTATAAAAGTGAGGTAAAATGATTTACCCAAGTGAGTAGCAGAAAGAAATTAGAAAAAGCCTTCCGATTCAAATCCAAGGTTCTTTCCACCAGGCCCACGTTAGTACTGATATAAAATGCCACCCACTGCCTAACTCTAACAGAGTCACTCCTCTGATATCACCTAGGGCAGTGTTGTAATGTCCACGTGCATCAGAATCCTCTGGGGAAGTTTTTAAAAAATGCATATTCTTGGGTCCACCCCAGACCTACTTGCATAGAATTTCTGGGAGTGAAGTCCTAGAATTTTCATTTTTAACAAGGTCCCCAGGTGATTCTTATGCCCCCTAAAGTTGAGAACCACTGACCTGGGGGGCAGGAACACATTCAGGTCAAATTCTTCACAGAACTTTCAGTCCTGAGTGAGGACTATGTCTAGAAAATCATTACAAATACAATTTGGCAATAATTACTGGCACATAGTAGGTTTTCAACAAATGTTTGCTGAATAAAAACTCTGATGTCCTAACTTATCAACATGTGAAGTTGAGGAAAGATTAAAACATTGTGGAGCTTAGACAAAGGTATTAGAGTTTAGAGCCCTATTAATTTAATTTGTTGGAGAATTGTCTGTTAAGTAGAACTAAGCTGTTCTGCTTTAAAAGGAATAGAATTACTTTGTGTTTATAAAATGGTATCTTATTTTACTTTAAAATTTTCACTATTTTTAAAACTAGGTAATACATGTTGTACACAGTTCTAAATTCAAAAGGACATTAAGTGACAAATCTGCTCCTCCCTACTTCTGTGTCCCAGCAATGCATCCCCCTCCCCAGAAGGACAACTGTTACTAGTTTCTTGTGTGGAGTAACTGCTTAACTGAGGCCCAAAAATGGGAAGATAACTTTCCTAACTTGGGACTCACACTCCGGTCTTCTGACTCCCAGTTCTATGTTTTTTCCACTAAACCATGTTTACCTCAAAGGTGAACTCAAATATCAAAGCCAAAATATTCACCAAGAAGTTCTCAGTGTTTCTTGGTTTTCCTTGCATCTAACTATAAAATGATGCTGGATGTCAAGGCTAATGCATACATGGAAAATCAACATGTACAAAATGTAATGAGTTACTGCAAGCATTTGTAGATCTAACAAATCTAGAGACTCTTTGAGAAGGTAAAAATTGAAGAATAGTCAAATATACTTTAAGAGCACAAATAAACCCACCTTATATATTATTTAATATATATCAATAAATTGGAATGTTGATTTATGTACCAGTGTTTTGCCTAATGGGTTGGCATTTCCCCTAGAGCTAGATCACTTCCAGAACAAAAATCAAATTTTTGAGCCAATAAAATTGAGGGCCAGAACCAAGACTGTGGTGACCCAACCAAGTCATTATTCCTGCAAGACTATACTGATCTAAGTAACCAGCTGGCCTCTCCACACCCACCCTATTTTTAAAACTAGGTAATACCACCCTAACCACATATCCTCTAACTATAATAAGCACAGCTTCACTAAATAGTTATTGAACAAAATGTTTCATTGAAGCACAGAAACAATTTAAAAGGCTTACCTCTAAGTCATTGAAAAATAGGTGTGTATCAGCCACTTCAAAAATCATTTCTTCCATAGTTAAACCTGAGCCAATCACTACTGTTGGGTCCTGGAATACAGTAAGAGAAAAATGTGCTTGATGTGGTACTTGCAGCACTGCTTCTGACCCTTAAATATTTCAAAATTATTCTGGGTCCAGGCCAAAACAACACAGACCCACAATAGTGCTTCCACCTATTACTGATGCAATTTCATTCATGGTTATAAGAATCTGGAATTGTGAAAAGTTAAAAATTTCAGGACTTTAGTTTCTAGAAAACCAAACCCACTTAAAAAAACAACAACCTTGCCCTGGCTGGTGTGGCTCAGTTGGCTGGGCATCACCCAGTGCACCATAAGGTTGCTGGTTTGATTCCTGGTCAGGGCACATGCCCAGGTTTCAAGCTAGATCCTTGGTAGGGGATGTGCAGGGAGGCAGCCAATCAATGTGTTGCTCTTATGTCAATGTTTCTCTCCCTTTCCCTTCCTCTGTCTAAAATTCAATAAAAATATAAAAAAAACCAAAAACCTGAATTTTGGGGAGAAATTCTAACTATTGCTAAAATATTAGTATTGTAACATCCATTATCTTCTCTACACACACACACACACACACACACACACACACACACACACACACACACACACACACAGTATAACACCAGAAATCAGTTATCTGACAATCTCAACAACCAGGAAATAGGTAAACAAAGGCTAGAGTCATAATATTTGCAGAAAAAGCAATACACATAGCTTGCCACCCTCCCCCAATGCACCTAGCTTTAAAATGAACAACCAGGTCTTTATTTAGAGGCTATATGTTCTTATTTTATATACTTTGATAAACAGCCTAATTATACAGTGTATGAGCTTGCCAGTCTATGTACTAAAAGCCTGTGGAAATTACTTCTAACACAAACATTAGTGATAATAAGGAATAAATGGGAATAGTAAGAGAGCAAAGGAGGCAGATATCTTTATAAAATGTATTCATAGAAACAGAAAAATAGGAGCCTGAAGGTAACTTAGTGTAGAAATATGTAAGCCGTAGCTCAAAAACAGCTCATCCCTTTATTAAAACTGATGTTTAGATTGATGACTAAACAAGTTAAATTCTGCTTGGTATTTTTAATTTAAGAAGATATGTAGTCTATTTTAGAAAGATATTTTATATTTTATCTGTATTTTGACCTTACATATCTGGCATATACTCAGCTAAATGAAATGCACAGTTTGGGCTGTTAACAGTGACTTAAGGGATAGTACATTGGTCTTTGGAATACATAATACTGAGACTCCACTCTGTTTTGAGCATCATTCCCATACTGCATTTATACAGAATACCACTCTCAAAGAACTTCAGCTTTCAGCACTAGTCCCAGGTCTAGTCTCTAGTTTTATCATCAACTCTGCCTGACCATGCAGCCTGTGTGGTACAAGCTATTAGGTGAAACTTAACATGGAAAGGCCAACAGGGTAAGGTGCAGGGAGCAGAGAAAGTGATTTTGGTTACCTGCCCTTATAGCAGAAGAGGGGCAGTTACAACAAAGGAAGAAAGACTCACATTACCTTTCCATACTTCTGGGCATAGGATCCAGTAAGAAGGGAGTGAAAGATGATGATGGTTTCATCTAAGTCCCACAGAAACACCCGCTGAGGGAGGAAAATTAAAAAATGGGTGAACATCTTTTCTAATCACAGTGGAATAAAGCAAGAAATTAATGGAAAACTAAAAATTCACAAATATGCAAAAATTAAACAACGCAATCTTAAATAACCAAGGATCGAAGGAAAAAAATCACAAGTAAAGTTCAAAACCACCTTGAGATGAATAAAAATAAAAACACAACAAAACAGAATGTATGGAATGCAGCGAAAGCAGTGCTAAGAGGGAAGTTTATAGCTGTAAATTTGTAAGCTGATACCTTAAAAAAGAAGTAAGATCTCTCTTTTTTTTAAAAAATATATCTTTATTGATTTCAGAGAGAGGAAGGTGAGAGAGAGACAGACAGACAGAAACATCAATGATGACAGAGTCATTGATCAAGCCCGCTACCCGGGCATATGCCCTGACCGGGAATTGAACCACGATCTCCTGGATCCTAGGTCAATGCTCAACCGCTGAGCCATGCCCGGCTGGGCAGAAGTAAGATCTCAATCAATAACCTAACCTGTATAATTTAAGGAACTAGAAAAAGCCAGCAGAAGGAAGGAAATACTAAAAGTTAGAATGGAGATAAATAAAGCATAGAATAGAAAAATAATCGAGAAAGATCAAAAAGTTAAAAGTTGGTTCTTTAAAAAGATCTACAAAATTGACAACTTTTAGTTAGACTGACTAAGAAAAAAGAGAGAAGACTTAAATTACTAAAATCAGAAATAAACATTATTACTAATTTTAGAAATAAAAGGGATTTTAAGAGAACACTGTGAACACCAACAAATAACCTAGATGAAATGGACAAACTTCTAGAAATACACAAAGTACCAAATGATTCAAGGAGAAATAAAAATTCTGAATAGACCTTTAACGGGTAAGGTGGTTGGATCAGTAATCAAAACCAACCCAAGAAAGAAAAGCCCAGGACAAGATGCTTTACTGGTAAATTCTACCAAACATGTAAAGAAAAATTAACACCGAGCCTTCTTAAGCTGTTCCAAAAAGTTGAAGAGGGAACACTTCCTAACTCACTCTATGAAGCCAGCATTATCCTGATACCAAAGTCAGATAAAGATACAACAAGGGAAAACAAAACAAAAACTGTAGACCAATGAACATACTTATAAACACTGATATAAAAATCCTCAACAAAATACTAGCAAACAAAATTCAGCAGCATAGTAAAAGAATTATACATTATAATCAAGTGGGATTTGTTTCCAGGATATGAGAATGGATCAACACACAAAAATGAATCAATGTAATAAAAAAGCACATTACTAGAATGGAGAGAAATGGTATCTGACAAAATTCACCACTTTCATGATAAAAATCCAATTAACTAGAAACAGAAGAGAACTTCTTCAACATAATAAAGGTCATATATGAAAAACCCACAGCTAATATCCCACTCTATGGTGAAAGACTGAAAGCTTTACCCCTGAGATCAGAAATAAGACAAGGAAGCCTGTTTACACGACTTCTACTCAACACAGTATTGGCAAGTCTAGCCAGAATACTTTGGTAAGAAAAGGAAAAAAATGTACCCAAATTAAAAGGAAGAAGTAAAATTATCTCTGTTTGCAAATGACATGATCTTATTATACGTAGAAAATACTAAAGAGTCCACACAAAAAATTGTTAGAACTAATAAATGAATTCAGAAATCAGTTATATTTCTATACACTTGCAACGAATAATCCCAACGGAAACTTAAAAAACAATTCCACTTACAACAGCATCAAAAGTAATAAAATACTTAGTAAGACTTATAAACTGAAAACTATAAAACATTGCTGAAGGAAATGAAAGAAGACAGACCTAAATAAATGGAAGGATATCCCACATTCATGGATGAAAGACTTAATATTATTAAGATGACAATGCTACCCAAAGCAATCTACAAAATCAACGCAACCTCTATCAAAATTCCAACAGCAGCCCTGCCCTGGTCAGTGTGCTCAGTGGTTAAGAGCGTTGGCCCACGCACCAAAGGGGATGTGCCTGGCCAAGGGCATGTACCTGGGTTGCAGGTTCGATCCCTGGCTCCAGCGGGGCCCATGCAGGAGGCAACCAATCAATGTTTCTCCTCCCCTACTCTCTTCTACTCTCTCTAAAATTAATGGAAAAAATATCCTTGGATAAGGATTAACAACAAAAATATTCCAACAGTATTTTTTTGTAAAGAAATAGAAAAATGCATTCTAAAGTTCATATAGAATCTCAAGGGTTCCCAAATAGCCAAAATAACCTTGAAAAAGAACAAAGCTGGAAGATGTTCATAACCTTGTATTCTTAGGTATCATACCAAAAGCACAAGCAATAAAAGAAAAACAACTTCATCAAAATGTAAAACATTTGTGCATCAAAGGATACCATCCAGAAAGGAAAAAGACAATCCACAGAATGGGAGAAAAATATTTGTACATCATATATCTGATCAGGGATTAATATCTAGAATATATAAAAAATTCCGAAAACTCAAAAAAACCCAAACCACCCAATTAAAAAATGGTCAAGGACCCAGGCCACTTGGCTCAGTTGGACCATCATCCCACACACCAAAAAGGTTGCGGGTTTGATTCCTGCTCAGGGTACATACAAAAATTGTGGGTTTAATCCCTAGTCCGGGCACCTCTGGGAGGCAACTGATCGATGATTCTCATTCTCTCTCTCCCTCTCTCTAAAATACAAAGAAAATAAACAAATGGCTGATAAATGCATGAAAAGATATTCAACATTAGTAGTCATTAAGGAAATGCAAATCAAAACTACAATGAGATAGCACTTCACATCTGTTAGGATGCCTATTATCAAAAATATGGGAAATAAGTATTGGTAAGGATGTACAAAAACTAAAACCCTCATGCATTGCTGATGGGAATGTAAAATGGTGTATTCACTATGGAAAACATTTTGTTGGTTCCTCAAAAAGTTGAACATAGAATTACCATATGATCCAGCAATTCTACTCCTAGGTTTACCTAAAATCATTGAAAAGGGGGACTCAAAGAAATACCTGTATAGCAATGTTCATAGCAGCACTATTTAGCAGCTCAAAGGTGAAAAAACCCTCGGTGTCCATCAACAGATGACTGGATAAACAAAATGTGGTATATATATATATATAATACTACAATGAAATATTATTCAGCTATAACAAGGAACAAAGTTCTTATGCTTGCTACAACATGGACCTGGAAAACATGCTAAGTGAAAAAGTCTGTCACAAAAGGATAGGTATCGTATGATTCTACTTTTATGAGATTATCTAGAACAGGCAAATTCAGAGAGACAGAAAGTAGAACAGAGGTTACTAGGGGCTAGTGGTGTAGAGAATAGGGAGTTACTGCTTAATGGGTGCAAAGTTTTTGTTTAGGATTATGGAAACTAACAGTGGTAACAATTAAATAACACTGTGAAAATATTTAATGCCACTGAATCACACTTAAAAATAGTAAATACTACGTTACGTATATTCTACCACAATTTTCAAACTTGAGTGAGTTCTCTCTGTTTTCCCCAAGAAATATATTAGGACTTTAGATTCTTTTTTTCTTTCTTCCTCCCCCCTCCCACCAAGAATAAAGGGAAAGAGAGGTTCCAAATACAGTTTCAATTTACCCATGTCTTCAAAACACCTACCAATGGGCTCATTTTTATTTTTTTAAATCCTTACCAGAGGAGCCCAGCCGGGCGTGGCTCAGCAGTTGAGCATCGACCCAGGAACCAGGAGATCAGGGTTCGATTCCCGGTCAGGGCACATGCCCGGGTTGCCAGCTAGGCAGTTGCTCAATGACTCTCTCATCATTGATGTTTCTATCTCTCTCTCTCCCCCTCCTTTCCTCTCTCTGAAATCAATAAGGATATGTTTAAAAAAAAAAAAAAAATCCTTACCCGAGGATATTTTTTCCATTGTTTTTCAGAGAGAATGGAAGGGAGAGAGAGAGAGAGAGAGAGAAAGAAACATGGATGTGAGAGAGAAACATCGACTGGTTGCCTCCTGCTCTCGAGATGCCTGGGGCTGGGGATTGAGCCTGCAACCGAGGTACGTGGACTTGGCCAGAATCAAACCAGGGACCCTTCAGCCTGTAGGCTGACACTCTAACCACTGAGCCAAACTGGTTAGGGCAATGGACTCATTTTTTTTTTTTTTAATATATCGTTATTGATTTCAGAGGGAGGAAGGGAGAGGGAGAGAGAGATAGAAACATCAATGATGAGAGAGTGGTCATTGATCAGCTGTCTCCTGCACGCCCCCAACTGGGGATTGAGCCTGCAATGTAGGCATGTGCCCCGACAGTGAATCGCACTGCAATCTCCCGGATCCTAGTTTGATGCTCAACCACTGAGCCACGCCTGGCCAGGAGGACTCATTTTTAAATATAGTTTGCCCTTTTCAAATGATTCTATTATAGAAAAATTGAAAAAAGCAAAAGGATTAATATCAAAACTTCACTATTAGTAGCTTGTATGACTTTCTAGTCTTTTTATAATAATGAAGCCAAATGTATGCCCATAGTAAATTCTTATAGTGCTTAACTACAGAATAAATGAGTATAAATCTCATTAATAAAGTTCCAGATCTGGGTTGTACGCTTCACAGAAACTTGGCGTAAAGCACTCTAGTCTTCTGTTTACTTTGAGATTTATGAACAGCAAACAGTACAACATTACTTGTGATACCCTCTGCTTTCTGAATATGATGCACTGTTCTTTCTGTTCTCCTCTGGAATACAGAGAAGAGTTTCTTTCCCTTAAAGAGTTACCTGGTTACTTAAATTCAGAAAAGTTTTTTTGATGCTTTCAGTAAAAGCACCTGAAGTAATATGGAAAGTTATGCGCATAGACAAATGTGTTTTTACATTTCTTTTTCACTTGGCAAAATCAGTTTCTCCTGACCAGGAATTAAAGGGTACACAACATAGAACCATATTATTCCAGAAGTTTCAGATATATATATTTGATAAACTTCAGAAATGAGGAAAAAAACAAAGTAACTCAAAGGAGTTTCTTCTCATACTTCTAATTCACTGTCCTGGGAAGAGCTGGCATCAGCTTTCCTCTTGCCCCGGTTCTTTCCAGTCATATTTTTTCTGGACTGGTCATCAGCATCTTTACTTGGTGTAGTCTGGGACAAAGATGGGCTTGTAGAAGGGTCTCCTGAAAAGGAAAATTAAGACATTTATTGCCAGTAGTCACAGAGCAGGAAGAGGGTCAGCAGACCCTCTTCTGTCCTTAAGAATCAAATTGCAGAGATAAAGGGTAAAAAACCAAACTTTATCTAAGTAATTTGGGAATGCAGAACTGGGCGTCGAGCATCAACAGCTCCTAATAGCATCACAAAGAGAGTTATAACCAGAATTTATACACCTGCATCCCAATGAAAGAACACATCTATAAAGTTGTTTTGAAAAAAAAAAAAAGAAAGAAAGAAAAAAGAAAAAAGGGAAGGGAAGGACGAACCTGAGTCTGGTCAAGCTTTTAGATCAGAGTTTCTCAACTTGGCACAATTAACATTTTGGGCCAGATAATTTTGTTGTAAGTGTGCTGTCCTGTGCACTGTAGAATGTCTGGGTAAGCAGCATGCTTGGCCTCTATACTCTAGATGCTCACACAGTGTGACAACCAAAACTGTTTTTATACATCGCCAAATGTCAAAGGGGGCAGAGGGGAGGCACACAGAGCAATATTGCCTTTAGTTGAAAAAGACTCCTCTAGATTCATTTACTAAATTACAGTAACATATAGAAGGCAACAAGACATGTTAATTATCATAAGGATATAATCAACAAAATTCAGGAAATGCTATGGGATAAACAACAGTTTCTTGAACAAATAAAGTACACGGGGGAATAAAAAAAAAGAGATGGAGGAATTTACAGGTTAAAAGAGACAAAATATGTATCTACCAATCACATGTATGGACCTTTCTTGGATCCTAATTTAAACAAACTGTAAAAAGAAAAACAAAACTCCTAATATTTATGAGAAAACTGGAAATATGAATACCTCTTGGTAATTTATGATATTAAGGAATTATTGTTGAATTATTTTAGATGGGATAACAGAATTGTGGTTATGTTGAGTATTTATCTTTTAGAAATATGATGCCTGGAATTTGGAGAGGGAATTGGATGAAGTATAGTTGAAACAAGATTGCCTATGAACTGTTAATGGTTGAAGATGGGTGATGGATACATATGGGTTCATTATAAGTACTGACAACTTCTGTCTATGTTTGAAATTCTCCATTATTAAAAAATTAAAATTGTTATAAAGAACAAAGATATTCAGAGAAATGAATTCAAAACTAAAGCATCAGTATATGTAATTATTTCAAAGTTATGTAAGTTTGAAATGACCATCTGTATGTCCATTACTTAGAAGACTGGTAAAGGCAAAATGCATAGAAAACTGCTTTAGCTGATGTAGAAGAGTTTTAAAAAATGCCTCAGAGCTAAAAGCAATAAACAGTCCTTCCTCAAGTTGCATGACATGACAACAAACCATCAAATTTTCATGAAAAATAGAGATAAATAAAAGTATGTGCATGTGTTTATTGAATATGTGTATAAAACCTTTAGCCAGGGTTTTGGTTTTTTTTTAATCTGGACATCATAATCCAGCAATACATTTCAAAGCTAAATGTACAGATCTAAATTTGTAGATTAAATTTCATGTTTCTTTAGCTTTTCTTAGACTCTTAAAGGGATCCATGACACAGAAAAAGTTAAGAACTACTGCTCTAAAGCTGAGCAGAAGTCCAAAATATTTAGACTAAAACTAGACTCCTCCAACTTTTATAAAATGTGCCATGGTTGTGAAATACCCTGTGACAATCATGTTAAAGCTACAGGAGGGGGTAGAGCAAAGTGGGAGTCATAATTACACTCAGCCTGCCAAAGACTTCTAGTCTGGTTCCAATGTTTAAATACTCCTGAAAGGGAAAGTCAATAGCATGGTAACAGTATCTTAAACCAGAACAAAATAATCTTCACCATCACCTATTGGATGAAGTGCCCTTAAGCCAAAGTTGTTAGAGCTATGGTACTTACCAGAGGCAAGTCTCTGTGCTGCAGGCGTAGGTACCATGACACCAGGCTTCTCCGTCTGGTATGTGGTTGCTGCTAATGTGGTACTCTCAGCATCACTGTTAGTTTGGCCTGTGACTCCAAAGCTGGAGCTAGGGTAGCAGGCCTGGTACTGACTCTGACCAAGAATAGTATAGGTGGGATAGTCCTGTAGACCAAAGGGATTAAGGGAGGAAAACAAGTCTTTTAGAAAAAGCAAAACATTAATTTCAACACAAGAGACTTTCATGTCCCTCTTATTTATAATTATCTTCCTAGAACATAATCTGACCTCTCATTTGCCTATCTATATCTTTCACTTAAACAAATGATTTTCAAAAGGCATTCTGTTGGACACCTGAGTCAAGAGGAGATGCCTCAGGGCTGTCCGGGATGACAGGAAGGCTGAGAGGGAAAGGTCCCATGCATGCACTCTACATGCAATGTCCCCTTTTCTACTATTGCAGCTTCCTCCCCTATTTTATGTACTGAATTTCTAGATAAATATCTGCATGAAATTCTTGAGGGCTGATATCTGTAAGAAGTTTATAAACCACTGCACTAGAGGGCAGTGCTTCTAAGGACAGAAGACCTTAAACAAACAAACAAAAATCACATATCCTATATTAAAGTTTCCCAGTTTAAAAACTGAGTATCTTTCTTTCTAAAATAATCAGTGTTTCTTTAGAATATTCATAGGGCATTTTTGGTGGTTTCGTAAGCACATACATGTCAAAACTAATCAAATTGTACAATTTAAATCTGTAAAGTATACTGTATGGCAACTATACCTTAATAAAGCTATTAAAAAATGGGTATGATGTACAGCTCAAAAAAACACCTTAAAGAAGTCCATTGATACTGATATTGGTGACAAGAAGAGAGATGCTAACTGATCAGACCAATTATTTATAAAGAGTACATAAGCATCTAGCCTGAATATGTGTGTGTGTGTGCGCGCGCATGCACACACACGCATGGGTGGGAATAGGGAATACTAGCTGTACTCAAGGGAGTTAAAAATTTAGCAGGAGCTAAGACCAAAACATTTCCAATAAGTTGGCAATAAATTATATGTCAAATGAGTGAAATACAGAGGAAGACAACTATCACTAAAGATTGTGGTAGAGAACTTCCTGAGAAAAAGGCAGAGGGAATAAATACATGAATAGGCTCTGAAAAGGTTTTATTAAGGGGCCAGAGATGTTCAGTCTGGTTGAAAGGATCTCTGTAGGCTTGAATGACTAGTTAAGGAATATGACTTGGATTGTTTAGGCAATGGTGATCTGCTTATGTGGGGGCAGGAAATGGGGATTATCCAATTTAAACCAACAAGTAAAAATACAAAAAGATAATAAGCAGGTGAATGCAGGATAAAAAGTGGCATTTAGAGAGAATTGATCAAATAGTGTTTTAGAAAATGGACAAACATAGCAAAAATTGAAAGATGAATAGTTAAATACAGTAATTCAGAATTAAGGGGTGGGAGGACAAAACATGGGAAATGATAACAGAAGTGAAAAAGAAATGGCTGGATTAGGGATAAGTGAGGAAAAAATACTGATGACTTGTCTAGGTTTATTAAAAAAACGGTCTCGCCGGGCTGGTGTTGCTCAGTGGTTGAGCATTGACCCATGCCCCAAGAGGTTACCAGCTCGATTTCCAGTCAGGGCACATGCCTGGGTTGTGGGCTCGGTCCCCAGTGGGGGGCATGCAGGAGGCAGCCAATCAACGTTGATTCTTTCCCATTGATGTTTCTCTCTCTCCCTCTCCCTTCCTTTCTCTCTAAAATCAATAAAAATATATATTTTTAAAAAAGGTTTTATTGACAAGAATTGAGAAGTCCTAGAAAAAAGTGGTTTTACTGTTGGAGAACAAGGAGACAGAAGGAAGGGTAGAAAGAAAGGTTGGTTTTAGATATGATGAACTTAAGGAAATAGCAGGATATTTAAGAAAAAATGTCCATCAATAAGCAGGAAGCCTGCAGCTACCATAACATTAGGACTAGAATCATTTCAAAGGTAGTAAATGGATATTGTGAATGTGGTTAAATGTTCCTGGGGAAAAAAAAACATGGGAAACTAAATGCAGATCATTCCTGATACAAGATAAGACCAAAAAAGAAAAGCTAAGAAAGTGAGAGAGATAGGTGTACCTGAAGAGTGCTAGGTACATAGTAGGAACTCAATAAATATTTGTGGATTAAAAGAATGAACAGATGCATGAATAAACATAAAAAAAACACACCAAAAATAGTAGTATGTTAAATGCAGCCAGAAAAAAAGATCTATGGATACAGTGGTTGATAATACTAATTGCTGCAGAGAAACAACAAATTAAAACATAACAAAGGCACTGAAGACTTACCAGTGATCGAAGCATAAAATGTTAACAGAACAATGATAAAAACTAGACCACAAAGAATTCACAAAGGAATGAGTGGCTAAATAAAAAGTGGAAGAAATATTTATTCATTCCACAAATATTTATGATGTGCCTTTAATGTGAGTGCTAGGCATTTTTATGAACTCTGGAAATACGTAAGTGAACAAAATAGAAAAATAAACCCCTACCCTCACGGAGTTTACATTCTAGAAGGGGCAGGGTAGGAGGCAGAGACACACACAGCAGATAAAAGGAGCAGACAGAACCATATCATTGAGAGGCTTAGCAGAGAAATGAGAGAAACTGGATGGTAGCTTGAGAAACCATCCAGGGTACTGGTTCTCAGGGCATCCAGAGAAGGGTCTCTCTATAGCCCATACTAGTTGTTTTTTGGATTGTCAAATTGACAATGAAGAGAAGAAGAGCTAGCTAGATGAACCATATCTAATAGGATGAAAAAAGTTGCACTGTACCTGGTTTGAGATGCTGGAAACTGCTGCTGCTGGAATATTGGCAATCGTAGATGAAGTGGATATCAGGCTGGCATTTGTGCTTGAAGCTATAGGATTGAGAATGTTAAGAGATATTAAAGATATTATGTAAAAGGCTAGAAGAAATTTAAAATATATTATATCTTAAATAAACAGATCTACAAGGATATAAAGAACATTAGGAAAGGAAGCAAATACTAGTTTTGCTCTTTTACATGCTATGCCATAATTTAGAATTGATTAGATAAAACAGTTCAAATATTTTTCTGTTTTGACTTCAGTCTTCAACTATTCCTACTAATGTCCTAGAAGGATACATATACAATGCACTGGTTCATACTAATGATATCAATAAAGTCAGATGCTAAACCAAATGACTGCAGTCCATCTTCTCTGGCAGTTGAAAAATGACTTACCTGCAACTGGCCTACTGACAATCAATAGAAACAACAAGAGCTCTGGTAAATCCACATGTAAATCCTACACACTATGGTATTTATTGTCACTTGCCCCAAATTATGCCTTTCCTGATGCAACATAATAAGTCTGAGAAAGAGAGATGGTTCTCCAAATTCTAAAGTACTTGGGCACTACTCAATGGAATTATTAATGTGGATCAACAAATACCATGATCTGGCATTTAATGATTTTACCAATGACCCTGGAAAAACTTAGAAAATATTAAGCATTATTCTGGGCATGTAAAAATATACCCTATAAGCTAACCAGGCTGCCTATTTTGAGATAAGGAATTTGTGTTAAGTTTCTCATACCCTTCTATGACAGATTCCACTAAGGTTTTAATCAACTCCTCAGTGACTAGTATTTGCCACAGAGTTTTTTCCAGGTGGACAATGTAACTGAGGTTGAGGTAATGGTCTTGAATTTTTCTCACTTACTTATCATAAACACACTAAGAAATGGTTCCCACTGCAGTTGCAAACACTGTGAGGGGTTCAGCATCAGGTAGACCTGACTATTTGACTACCTAGCCCATTAGCAACAAAGTCCTCTAGAGGGAAAGTTAATAGGAAAACCTCCATTAAGAACATGGCAGGTGGTCCAGCTGGTGTGGCTCAGTGGTTGAGAATCGGCCCATGTACCGAGGTTGCCAGTTCACTTCCTGGTCAGGGCACATGCCCAGGTTGTGGGCTCGTTCCCCAGTATGAGGCAAGCAGGAGGCAGCCAATGAATGTTGATTCTTTCCCATTGATGTTTCTATCTCTCTCTCCCTCTCTTTCCCTCTCTCTAAAATTAATAAAAACATTAAAAAACTAAAAAACAAAACAAAACAATAGGGCAGGTGAACAAATGCAGCAGAAACTTGCAAGTACTGGTCAAAATCAGAGGAAATTTTTTATCCCTTTTCTCAAGGGAACCCTGTTTAGAAGAAAGTCTAGAAGAGATTAAGGTAAATTAGATATAAGGAATAGCTAATGCTGCAATGCCAGCTTTCTGATGAAGAACCTGGGACAAAGAAGAGTTAATTTGTCCACAGTCATGGAGATAGTGGTAGATAGTCAAGATGACAAATCTGGGATCTCCCAATTCTTTATCAGTTGCAGATTTAAAAACAAAAGCAGCAGCAATAAGATATGCAACAAAAGCACAAATTTAGAGGATCAAATAAAACTCAAGGGGTAACTCCTACTGCTGTATACCTAAAGACTATTAGCTCTATATACCTAAAGACTATTAGCTCTCCCAACGCCAATGGCATAGCCAACTCTTTCTGGATAAGTCTCCACTCCTGTTTTGACAACAGAGCTAAAATCATAGACAAAGCAACTGAGAACTATGCCCCACTAGAGGTCGACCTAATACAGTCAATATACAGAGAGCTTTAATCAGAAGACTTTGGTTACGGAACTGTGAGAGGCAGGTTGAATTAAGTGACATTGCCCTAAAGTTGGAGGGTTAATGGCACATAAAAGTTGCTGCAAGATTTAGTTTCTACCCTTTAATTTTATATATGTTTCTCCACCACCCTTGCTTACCCTGGCCTTTTCAAGTTATTCAAAACAAGAGAGGATCTCTGTCTGGACTGTTCTCCCTGGCCTGCCCCTCTCATTCTCCCAGCATCGTGGCTCTTCCTTCTCAGAGACTCTCTCTAACCCCTCTATTAAAATTAACTTTTTTCTTGTTTTCCCAATCACAGCAATCTATTCTTTATTCCTTTCAGAGCACTTTTCAAAGTCTGTTTATTTTCTTGCCTGTTTTCTATCTCCTCTACTAGTCCGTAAGCTCCATGAAGGCAGAATCTTAATATCTTATTACCTACAATATCTAGCAAAGTACCTGGCCTACAGTAGGTGATGCTCAGTAATTACTTGTGGGATTCATTTATATCTTGTATACATGTATAACTTATAGAATTCGTGTATAGCATGTCAAGATCATAAAAAACAAGGGAAGTCTGAAAAACTGCACAGTCAAGAGGAACCTAAGAAGACATAACAATTAAATGAAATATGGTATCCTGGATGGGATTCTGGAACAGAAAAAGGACATCAGGTAAAAACTAAGGAAATATGAATAAACTATGGACTTAGTAATAATGTACTAATACTGGTTTATTAATTGTAACAAATGTTCCATCCTAATGTAAGATGCTTATAATAGGAGAAATTGTGTGCATGGTGGGGGGAATATATATAACTCTCTATACCACGTGCTCAATTTTTCTATAAATCTAAAACTACTCTAAAAACTAAAGTCTATAAAAAGACAAATATGGTCAACAAAAGACTATTGTATATTGCCAACAACATCAGAGCTCAAAGACATTCATTAAAAGTCAAGACTAAGTTAAAATTAAATTTGAAATTTCTGTAATTAATTTTGCCACTTGAGTATTAATCATTTAAACCATCTCAACTGAAGAAAATAACCAGGATTGGGCCACATACAGACATTCTAGGAAAAGATTAATATAAAGAAGCCAAATCTATTTAATCCAAGGGTTTTCATGAGCATGAGGTATAAATTAAAGGTGATCAGAGCTGATCAAGCCAGAAGTGGAATTTGGTTTTTCAGATAATTTCCCTAACTTCCTGAAGGAAGAAGGGTTGTTGTCAATTGTAGAATACTTTGGGTTGGGATAAGGGAACATTGCTGTTTTGATCACTTAAAAAAAAAAATCAATACAATGCTCCTTGTTTTTATTCTGTGGAATGACTGGGTAGTTACATAGGGGGAAGGAAGCAGCCCTGGACAGCTAACAATTTTCCATGCTAAAGGAAATGAAAAGCGGGGGTGAGGAGAGTGAGTGGAGAACCAAGGTCATTTAAATGTGCCAATAGCCATATTTCATTTTAGCCAATTGTTCCAACTTGTTTTCTACCACTGTTCCTTCAAAATAAGTCGCAAAAAAAATTGATCAAGTTAATGGTACACTTTTTTTATATTAAATTTTTCAATTACAGTTGACATTCAATTTGGTGAACTTCTGCCTTAATTTCTGTGCCAAAGTTCTAATGTACAATACAATGGACCAATAGGTTAACCAGAAAAAGGAATGAAAAATAAATTTAGATATTTGCCACTACAGGTTCTTAATTATGAGAGGGTTGATATTGATACCATGACTTTAATATTAAGAAATTATACGTTTTCAATCATAAATCACTCACGCTCTGGGGTCTGACTGCCCAGCTAACATCCTTACTTTATTATTTACTAACTTTGTGACCTTTGACAAGCCACTTTGCTTTTTTGTGTCTTCTGTTTCCCTTCTTTAAAATGAAATAAATAACAGAAATTCCCTCAAAGTGTATTGTGAAGATTACATGAGTAACACCCATCTATTGTTTAAGACAATGCTAAGAACATAGTAAGCATTTAACAAACACCAGCAATTGATCACTACTAGCAAAATGTGAGGAAACCAGGTTAATCTATCAAAAGGGAAAAAAATTTACCACAGATAAGTTAGGATAGTGGTCAATGGAGTTTAAAGGATATTTTCATGACCCCTTTAAAGCAGTGAGTTCTAAAAGACCTCCAAAAGGTGGTTCCTCTTGTTTTACAAGGAGGGAGAAGAAGCATAGCTATTAGGTTCCTCAGACTCAAGATATAACTATAGAGAAGTGGTGGTTCTACACCTTTGGAGAGGGTTAGTAATATAAAAAAAGAGAACCCCTGCTGTTCTTTCACGACCTAGGTGTAGTCAACCAAGGTGTAGTCACCAGGGATATATCCCTTAGGAGGGACTTGGCAACTAGATTTGCCTGTAGTTGGACGCAAAAGGCCTACTTTATAAAAATCAAAAGGGGGTAGAGGGGAAGATAGACAAAGTCATGCTCTTTGAGATTTTCCCTTCCTGGTTTGTTCTCAGTTTAGAAAGAAAGAAGGGAAAATAAATAAGAGGAGACTCTGTAAACAGTTAATAGGTAAAGATAGCTCAGAGCAATGTCTTAGAAAGTAGTGACCAAATACTGTTCTCAATGGACGAAGCAGAAATCGTTCTAAATCATTTAACTGAAAACAGTTAAAACTGAAAATAAAAATATTTTGTTAATCTACATCAAAACATTTTTCATCATCAAAGTTTGTATCTTAAGAGTACTTCAGACCAATTTTTGCTGCCCTGCCCTTACCCCTTGGGTACCCGTTTTATAAGGAAAAAATTTAAAAGCTGGGAGAAATCAGGAGAAAGGATAAGCAAGGTACATGGACATTAATTCCCAATCTAGATCAATGATAAATTGCTTGTACTGGATTTGGAGGGGTTGGGAATTAATTCCATAGTGCCTTTTGGGTTTCTTTGTCTTCATTCCTAATAGTCCTATCATACTTCTAACCTTTTAAAGGAAGAATTTGGAAGGCAGAGATGTTTAGAATTCAAGCTTTAATGCTATGCTTTTCATCATGAAATAGAAACAAGACAACTTTTTGAGAGAAAAAAATGCTCTCACCAAGAAGTGGTAAATGGAGGTAGAGGTATAACAAAACCAAGGCAGAAAAGCAGCACTCATCTCACATTCCACTCTATTTGGACTTCATACAAAAGAAGTCAGCAAAGTTCTAACCCGTGGAGTCTTCTGCTCATTTATAAGACAAAATGCCACTGAGAACAGACAGGTTTTCTGAACACCAACATGCAAAAGGGAAGACTTCAATTCTAAGCAGTTCACATTCAAAGGTTAAACTATTTACAAACCATGCGCCTGGGTTCTGGTTTGCCTAACACAAAAAGCATGCACAAATGCACATATCACCCCCTTCTATTTTGGAAGACAGAACTCCTATTACCCAGTTCGTCTGGAGATACAGGTAGATTAAAAGCAAAAACCAACAATAATAAAACACACACACAAAACCATGCCTATTTACCTTGAATGGGATAAGAATAATGTGCTGGGCTTGGCTGGCTTGTGGTTAACCCTGTAGTGCAGGTAAGAACACTGTGTTGACTTGGAGATGGAGTCTGAATTAAACCACTTTCAGGTTTCATACCTGGCCACAATGCACCTGAATCAGATAAATTGGACCAATTACAAACAATACACTGGGACTGAGGAGCATGGTTATGCTTTTAAACATCAGCCAGTAATTTAAAATCTAAATCTTAAAAGAAAAATAAATTTGCTTGTAAGAAAAAATTACTGATTCTCCCATTTACAATGTACCACAAGCAAATACAATTTCAAAGAATTGGGGAGTGGAGCCATAGAAACAAAAATCTTGTCAAAACTCCAATAGTGATATATATATATATATATATATATATATAAATATATATATTCATTTGAAATGAATATATATATTCATTTCAGTGGTTGGGGAAATTGACCAGGGTTCAAAAAAAGAGCTACTGATACCCAACCAGAGTACTTGTTGTAAAGAGTGCCTGATGTTCATGTACAGCAATAAATCATTGATCTGCATTGTCAAAGTGGGAGACATTCCACATAAGTTTAAAATTCACTTACCCATTAAACAAGCACCAAACTTTTCTAAAGTGTATTAAATACTTCTCTGCCTTCTTAAGCTGGTTATTTTGTTACCTTTGTTTCTTCTGATTAAGAAAGACATACCTGCTTACTTTTATAAATTAAAAACATTACAGAAATATGTAACTTAGAAAAAACAAAGTCATGTAATCCCATCACCCAGATTTAAGCACTATTAAGTTTGCAGAAGAGTCACTCAGGTTTCTTCTATGTACTTACTAACCTTTTTTCTTCTTTATATAAAAATTAAAAATATATTATACATACTGTTCATAATTTGCTTTTTCACATACCTCTAAGAGACATCTTTCCATGTCAGAACATATAAATCTATCTCATACTGATAGACATCATAGCTGTTCACTTTTATTCTATTTTTATCACAATGTTCCTGAGCGACAATCTTTCTAAAATATATTTATATCTCTTCCTGCCTTCTTGGCAGGGAGGAAATAGTAAGCGTACCTTTAGATTTTCTCAGAATTACTTCTACAAAGATAAATATTGTGCTGTGCTATATAACTTATAGAAACAGGCTATTGTGATATGTGAAGACATTTGCTTAGAACTGAATTATGGTTCTGTGATTTTTAGATTCTTGTATCACTTTGTCTTTTCTCTGTGATCTGTCACTTCTTGACAATCTCCTGTCTCTGCTTGTATCTATCTCCCTTTTCATTTGTAGTAAACTAGGAAACCATAAACAAAGCTTTGCTTCTATATGAGAGCTCAAGGTTTTCCTTTATGAGTGAATAGTTTTTGTGATAATTTTGGGTATGCAAAAGTCTATTTATAAAAAAACCTTACTGTCTGGTTACTCACTGTGTTCTGAATAGCTATGGTTGCTGGATCAGTGTAAGTGAAGTTGCAACTTTGGTTCAAGAAGGTACATCAGTCAAATAAATTCCAGGTAAGAAGTCAATACCAATGTCAGCCACAGCTTCAAATTCAACATTAGCTCATTTCATTTACTCCTAATCTGATAAGGAATTTATAGAAATATAATGCTTTAATAATAAGAACCTCTGCTTCACCAGGGCACTGAGATATCTTAGTGCAACTCAGATCTGTAACATTTGTTGAAAAAGTAAATATTAGAATAGTAAAGGGGAGATGTAAAAATCGTAAAAGGTTGACAATGGGACATGGTAATTGCCTTGGCCCAAACTCAAAGCATTTAAAAAAAAAAAAAAAAAAAGCCATATTCTTTTCTCAGCTATTAAACACATGAAATGACTTATTTGAGGAGCTTGAGGAATATCAACATCTCTAGCATGAATTAGGATTGCCCCCACTACCCCCAAGTTCAAGATCATTTAAAAAATGTTGTCTAGGTTAGCCACTACTAAAGTTCTTGCTATGTATAATTTTCAATAAAAAATATTTGATTTGAATATTAGTGCCATGATTCTGAATGGTATCACAATTTCTAGAAAACAAATCACTATTTCAATGTCATAATAACTTTCAGACTTAATTGTAATCAATGTGTTTTTCCTAAATGGGTTCTGAACTAGAGGTGTTAGATTTGTGAACATGTTTATTATTATGCTATACTAAAACACTATCTTATTAGTAAAAATAGTATTAACTGAGAATGTTTTGTTACCCTCATTATTTAGTATTTTTTTAAAGTTTCAAAATGTAAAATGTCTACAAATTGGTCCTTTTTATAAGGTCAAAAATTAGGGCAAAATGTCCAAGACACATAGGGGAACAGTTAGTTTTCAATGTTTTTGACCAGAAACACAAAGTAAATATTTAACATGCAATTATTTTATGTAGACTAGAGGAATAAAAGACAATATGGACACTGCCTCCAGCATTACTGTAGTCCTGTCTGTAAGCATATAAACAGCTTCCTTTAAAAGCACCCTTCTAAGAATTCCAAGTAATAGGTAGTATGATTTGGCTGTAGAGCACCATTCCCCACAGCAAATGATGAAACCAAATCCTGGTTTCCTGACTACTAGTCCACTGCTGTATGCCTACAACTTACAAAGTGTCTCAAGTCATTTTAAGCACAAAAAGCCTGATTGTGGAGCAATAGCTGGTCTAACAATGGGAAAGGAAGTCTGTCTGTGAGTGCTATCCTCCTGCTGCCCCAAACTGGGGTCTTATCGTAAACTTTACCCAAATCTCTGAGCACAAACATCTGTCACTATGGGTTAGTCAATAATCAAACTAATCTGAGGAGTTCAGTTTATAGTAACACATATCAGAGTAGTGGATCTTTAGAGGTTAGTTTGGTTAGGAGTTGAAGTACATGTTAATGCTCGGAAAAAAACCACATGAAAGACTATCTTGGCTTGCTGATTTAATAGCTCACTGGGATGAGCTATTATAAATACCAAGTAATTTAATCTGAGTACTTATCCTAATTATAAAATAAGTAGATTATATTATAGAAAATTAGGAAAATACAGAGTGTAAAGAAAAACTCACATAGTCTCACCACACACCAAAAAATATAAGCAGTTCTCACTGTGCATGGTTCTGTGGTAACTGAGATGAACTGTATAGTGCCTCTATTGTTAAGTTCACATTTTTTCTTCCAAATTAGTCTTTATGTACATATTTTTAAAATATACTGACTGGGGATATTATATTGTATTTTCAGTTTTACATACTGCTTTTTTCAATTAATAGTAATCTATTTTCTCAAGATGCTAAATATTCTTTAAGAATGTGATTTACGCCCAGCTGCAGTGGCTCAGTTGGTTGAGCATCGTCCCGCAAACCAAAAGGTTGCTGGTTTGATTCCTGGTCAGGGCATATACCAGGGTTTTAGGTTTGATCCCCAGTTGGGGAGCTACGGAAGGCAACCAACTGATCAATGTTTCTCTCTCACATAGATATTTCTTTCTCTTTCTCACTCTTCCTCTCTTTAAGCATGTCCTCCTGTGAAGATTAAAAAAAACCAAACAGAATGGCTACAGTTTTCCATTCTATGGATACACTGCAACTGAACACAAACCTTTCCATTGATGATGTATGTTGTATCCAATTTTTTGCTATTATAAATAATGCTGCAATGAATATTGTAGTTAGTAAAGTGTTGTGGTTATCTCTAATTAGTTCCACAGGATAAATTCCTCGAAGTGAAATTACTGAGGGAAATAGTATGAACATCCTTAAGGCTCTTAATATATAGTCAAATCTCTCTCACATTAAAGTTCTTTTAAAAGAAGTTAGAACAGTGGCAGCTAAGGCAATCTTTTATGAGCCCCTTAAAATAAATGATTTCCCTTTTCCTCACACATTCAGGTCTCACTAGAAGTTAAACTTGCCATCCTCTTTCTGCCGTCCCACCACATTTCTACATAGCTCTGAAAAGAAGATGACCACTATTGCTTTACTTATAAAGATTACTCATAGGCTTCCTAGATTTCCTCTAGTCTTTTCTCCATTCTTCAAGAAGAAACTTTTAAATTTCAAACTCAACTCTGAGACTATATTTTTCATATAGGCCTAAACCAGCAGTTTTCAACCTTTTTCATCTCCTGGCACATATAAACTAATTACTAAAATTGTGTGGCACATGAACAAAAATATAGGTATAATTTTGATTAAAAAAAAAAAAGAAAGAAAAGTAAAAGTAATTACCTACCCTTTTTGCTCCAAAGTGACTTTTTAAAAAATCAGGTGCTTATACTTCTATATAAGGATTGCTGATACCAAGAATTAACCAATCAGACGCAACTGTATTATGTGACGGGACCAATAAGATACAACTTTATTATATGACCTATATGTTTGTTTATGGTTTGGCACTTCACACTGAAAGGCTACTGTTGTGTTGGCTGTTGTTATTTCTTTATTTGACAATCTAAGGGAAAAGAGACTAGTGTCCTTGACTAAATAGTCAGGTATTGCATGCTTAAAAAAATTCTTGCGCACCCCAGTTGAAAATCGCTGACCTAAGCTATGAGCACTTCTGGAGTTAAACAGACTTGAGTTCAATTCTAATCCCAGGCATTTACTAATTGTATGACCTCAGGCTAGTCACTTCACTTAATCCTTCTAAGCCTGTTTCCTTATCTATAAAAAAAGTTAATGCTACTACTTACTTCTTAGTACTGTTCAGAGGATTAAAGAAGACAAAACGTAAAGTGTGAAGTACTTATTCTTAGCATACTGCCCGGTATAGTAAGGACTCAATACATATTAGGCAATATTATTACAATGAGATTTTCTGAAGCCCTTTTACACCTGAAATAACAGATTGGCTAATTTAGTTTTAGTGCTTACAGGCAGCATTAAGATGACAAAATTTCCAAAATCTTCACAAGAAGAAAGAAATGTTCTATATTTGAGTGAACACATTAAAAAAAAAAAAAGCCATGTTATAACATAGGAAAATGTCTTTAAAACAGTCACTTTAAAAAGTATTCCAATCATCTCTTTATAAATTATGAGAATATGCTATATCATTCACATTACTGCAACCTAAATCTCTCTCCAGTAAGTCTCATATATAACTTAAAGTCAAATTAAACTAATGATTACCTCTCTCTGAATTACAGGTAAATAGATTTATAAAACAAGTTTCCCTGGCCCCCAAATAGTACACAAAAACAGATTTATAAAACAGCCTGTTATAACCAATATTACTTTACAATATAAACACCGTTTCCTTCAAGTTTTTAACAAGGATTGATCTATTTTACAGAATTTTCTTTTTTTCTTTAATATAGAGAAAATGTAGCGATCACAAAAACTACCCTAATATCTAGGACCTACATGCACATGGCACTGTTAGGCATTCCATAAACTGAATTCAGATGTGTCATAGAAGTTTTCTTTAACACTGAACAATAAGAATGATCAACTACCCAACAATATCATAAAGGGCTTTGAACTTGCTAATAATAAATTTAAATCAAAACAGAGTTAAAAAACAATGTGAAAATACTTTATACTTGCTAGCCTATTACTAGCTAGCTAATAAAAATTCAGCTTTAAGATACACAAGAAGAAATAAACACAAACATAATCACAGAGATTTCTGCTTCCAAAAGGACTGTTCAGTCTTGGCTAGTTAAATATATGACAAATGCAAGATTTTAGTATACTGGCTGAAACTGACAGGCATATAGGTAGGCATGGACTACAAACAAGGAAACAAGAGCATTTGTTTCTCTTCTCTTGTGAAGTTACCAACAATCACTATCATGAAACATAGCCCCCAATTTTTGTTTCTAGTAGTTGTTAGGAGCCAAGGAATGCCTAAAAGTAAGAAGGCTGTCACTATCATAAAAGATTAGCAAAATGGGTCAGGAAAAGTAGCAATGTAGAAACCAGAAGCAGGCAACACTAATACATCCATAATCTGGGGAGATCTGTTTGGAAGATTTTTCTAATTCCCAGCTAGTTTCGGTAGAGGCTACAGAGATAGAATTTTATTAACATATTGCATATTTAAAAATAATACAGTATTCTCTCAACTTTTTGACACCAGTTCTAGGAAGGCAGGGAAGAGGTAATAAAGCACACTAAATATATCAATTTACATACACAGAGACAAATCAGTGCAGATATTAAGTGTACAAAGAATCTCAAACTGTCTTCTAGTAAATAATTTAATTTACAGTTCGTGTCCAAGATACCTAAAACCAAAGAACAAAATTTTCTATGTACGTAAAGTTGTACAAAATTGGGGATTTCCCCCACTATAAGGCATATTCTATCTGGATATTTAGATTACCTGGCTTCAGCAAGAAACTAGTTACCTCAAAATACATTTATTGTTTACCTAACCAGGTACCACGTTTTGTATAAAGTAAAATCAATAGTAATTTCTCAAAGATTTTCCACAAACACTTAAAGAATCCAAGTTTTACAGTCAAGACTTAGTACCTTAGAAATTTTGGTAGCTAACTTTGGTAGATAAACAAATGAGTACTGAAAAATTATGATTTTATATTACATGCATCAAATATACTGTCAGAAAGTTGCACGCCCAACTTCTATTACACCTATAACTGAGTAGGTGCTCTGCAAAGAACAACTCATTTCTCTGCTTCCTGATCAGCCACGCTTGCTTTTTGGAGAAAGACCAAAGTTTCTGGGGGATAAAAATCAATATTCTTAAAAACAGCTTAAAATAGGATGCCTTACCAAAAGGAGGTAGTCCATACGTTTGGGTTGCCTGAGGGTAGACAGCATACGGTTGAGACTGCTGTAGTGTCTGGTACTGAGTCTGCCCAGGATAAGCAGTTTCCGAAACAGGAACTGAGAGGATATGTGCATAAGGTCTAGAAAAGTTCAAGAAAACAAAAACTTGCACGTGTAATTTATTTTAATAATGAAAAATAGGGGGAACAGCTAACACCACTAAATGCAAAGAATCAGCAACGAGGAGACTAACTTTCCACAAAATGTCTCTCACTGTAGTCAAAAAGTAGAGCTAATATTTCCTTTCCAGGTTCTACTACAACCTACTTAAGAAACAATTTTATGGAAAATTTATTATTTTCAAATATCCTCCCAAGGTCCAATTACTATGCTATAAAAATTCATGGTAAGCCATATGTATAGCCCCTATGTGAGATACAAGGATGGATTAAACTTGTTTATGCCCTTATGTCTACATATAGAATAAAACTCTAAAATAACAGAAAATTGGATAGAGCAGGCTTCACAACTGGCTCTCGTTCTCCACCGAGCCCTCTGGGCCACACTAAAGCCTTAAGAGGAAAAGTGGGGCTTGGAAAAGAGGGTGAGGCTGGTAGGAATGGGCCCCAATATGGACAGATCAAGCCCATAAAACAGGAGCCAGATAACTAAAAAAATCTGGGAAGTCCCAGATAGGACTTAGAATTTTCCCACTGATATTTAGATCAGAGTACACTGCTACTAGTTGGTGCCAACCACATCAGTTTTACCTAGAGATCTGGATTCAGCAGTGAAACTTCAGGGAATAGAGACTAGCTAGATGACTTGGTTATTTCATGAAATAAGATGATCCCAAATTTTATGCACTGAATTTTTAGATAACAGTTATATGATGAGTTATACTGCACTTAAAATACAAGTGTCACATGTACCATATAAGTAATAATGATAAAATCCTGGAGGAAAGGGGTGTATCAGAAGGCAAAAAGATTCTTTTCAGGTTTGGGGGAGAAGAAAATGAAGGAAGGCTATAAAGAAGTGGTATGTGAGCTAAGCATATAGGATGTGCAGGAATGGGAATGAGAGAGTGTTCTAGGAAAACAAAAACTCTGGAAAAGGTACACAGGAAGGAAAGCAAGGGCTTCAGCCTGCAAGAAGCACAGATTATACTAAGGGAGGTATAATAAAGAGAAGGGAAGTAGTGAGAGAGAAAGATAGATAGCAAAGACCTTGAATACCAGGCTAAAAGAGTTCAGACAAATCTGAAACAAGTGGGAGTCGCTGAAATTGTTGAGCAGTGACAAGATCAGAGCTGCTCCTTAATAAAGATTAGTTTAACACTACTTTGTAAAATGGATTAAAACTGGAAATAAGATGTCCAGGTAAAAAAGTTATATAGGAGGTCTGAATTAAGATAGAAGGCATAGCTAATAAGGTATCCTGAATACACCAGGTATGCAAATCCTTTTTGAATGAGTAAATGAATTTGGAATATGCAACATATTCCCGTCTCCGTGGATTCTAAGAGACTGAATATGAAAATTTTCATTCTTTTTAACCAGATCTGAGACCAGGAAATAGCTCAGGTTGCAACTGTTAATCAAACTGCATGGGATATTATTTAAAATCTTAGTGATTAATCTCCAGATATATTGAAGACCATACCCTATTTCATATAGTATCTTTACAGCTCAAAGTATTTTGTTAACTCCATAATAATCTCAGAGAACAGATTTAGTCACCTCACAGAAGAAAAACACATGAAAATGACTGGCCCAAGGACACTGTTAGTGTTAATACCAGATTAGAATTTGGAAAACTCATTGAGTTAACTTTTTAATTAGTGTACTTTTTAACTGATGCAATATCAAGGCACAAAAAGATGGAAAAATGCCAGTCTACTTTTTACAACAGCCCACAGGCACCACTCATCTCTGTTGCCAATTTCTATGTATCCTGCATTATGTAAGCACAGAAGAATATATCCTAGCTTAATAAGCACACTTGTATGTATTTATGTATATACAGGCTCACTATCAATGTACGACTGGTAGCTTGAAATATGCACTGTTCTGCACCTACTCAACTGGTAGATGATTAACTTGGTGGATCTTAAATGCTAATCTTAACACCTTGAAGGCTCAAAAATGTTGCCTCTTAGTGACTTCAACCCATTAAACCTGTCTAACTTCAAGTCCACTTCTACTCTGAGGATATTCCTCAGACAAGAAACTGAACATAGAATAGGCTGAGAAGTCCCACGATGAGGCTGGCTTGAGCTGTTTTTATTGATCTGTCCATCAAGGTAAAGAAAAGAAAAAATGATCAGAAGTCAATCAGTGATATGCTTGGATCACTAACAGTATTTTTCATTTTCAATGCCTATTCATTTAGAGCAAGCTCCCCGGTAACAGTGATCTTTTCCAGGCAACCATCTACTTTTTAAAAGGATATTATAGCCCTGGCTGGTGTGGCTCAGTTGGTTGAAGCATCGTCCCATACACTAAAAGGTGGCAGGTTCGATTCCTGGTCAGGACACATACCTGGGTACTGGGTTTAATCCCCAGTCAGGGCATGTATGGGAAGCAGCTGACCGATCTTTCTCCTCCCCCCACCCTCTAAAATCTATAAAAAGCATATCCTTGGGTAAATGAATGAATGAATGAATGAATGAATAAAAAGATATTACATAGACTCCATATTTGGAGGGAATAAAAAAATTGGAATAAGGACTGAGAACAAGAGGGGTGAAAATAAATTAAATGTCAACTTACTGAGTTAAATATCAGGTTAAATTTTGCAAATAACCTAGAGAAAAACCATATAGATCTTGAAATAATTATTCAACTTACTTTGCAGAATACATTTGTGAGGTATAATCATTGGATGAGCGAGGGATGTAATCGGTGCATGTCATAACTGAAAGAAAGATATCACCAGGTAAAAAGTTAGAACATTTCTAAATGAAATGGAAAAATTGTATATCTCACTGTATAGTCTTTCAAACTAAATTACAGAATACAGCTTGGACATCAGAATTTAGAAAGACTATGTAATAGAAAATACCTCACTCTTCTAATATTGGATTTAGAGACTTTTAGACAGTAAAAGAAGCCAGAATGTGAGGGGTATGGAAAAGGGCTGAAGATTAATACCAAGTGATCGCTACATTCACCCTTCACTGATTTAAAACCACAGATGGAGCACCCTAAGCTCTCAGCTATGCCTATAGGCAAACTTAAAAAGCAGGATGCCTGGCCAGGTGTGGCTCAGCGGTTGAGCGTCGACCTAGAATCCAGACGATTGGGGTTCGATTCCCGGTTGGGGCACATGCCTGGGTTACAGGCTCGATCCCTAGTTGGGGGCGTGCAGGAGGAGGCCGATCAATGACTCTCATCATTGATGTTTCTATCTCTCTCTCTCCTTCCCCCTCTCTGAAATCAATAAAGATATATTTTTTAAAAATTATTAAAAAAAAACAGGATCCATATCTAGGAAACCACATCATACATCTTCAGCTATTCATTCTATGGGTGCTTACTCTCTATTTTGGCCATGTGAGTGACTTGCAGGAAGACAGATTTAGGGGGAAATACCCAATTTTATTAGAAAACTGTTGCTACTGCTATGTATAATCAGCAGCAGGAAAGATGTAAATATGCTTCTATATTACTGTTTTTTTCAGCTTGTGGTAAAGGTTTTAAGTTTGGCAAAGCAGAGGCAGACCTGAGGAACCAATGTGATGCTCTGATAACTTAGCAAGTAAAGAGACTTTCATAGCTAATGTCTTCCTAACTCTCATGACTTCATCTAGAATAGCTACAGTGAAGGCTTGGCCCTCATGATTTCATCTTGGATAAATGCTATAAATATTCAACTCAAGTTTGACAGTTAGCAAAATCCTATCCATTAGGCACGATTTCAGTCCATGCTGTAGATTGAGTTACATCATAAAGCTTGTACCAGACTTCTGAACTGTTCAAGAGTTCAGCATCTATACATCTATAAAGGAGGTTGCTCTACTACAAATAGGGTCTAGGAGTGAACCAACTAAATTTATGTCTAGCTGGGATCCCTGAATGTTTGACCCAAAAAGGGAACTTTGCTCAAGAGCATACGAGAGGAATATTCATGCCCAAAAGTAAGACAAATCAACATCAGTGAGTTTATCATAGGAGATCTTGTCCATTGCCATTGTTCAAGGTCTTTAACAATAATGACTGGAAATTTGTAGGTAGCATTCATTCATAATCATTTTGACAGAAATTAAGGAAATCTCAATTAGATGTAAAGCTCTTACTATCCATCACAAAGAATGTAAGTTCATCTGAATTCTGCATGATGGTCCCTTCTCTGCTGACAAGTACTTTCAAAAACCCAAACCTTTCTCCTCCTCTGACTTAAGTTAATTCTAGAAGAGATCGACAAAATATCCTAGGAGATTTAGGCCAATTTTTACTTTTTTAGAGAACAAATGAGCCTTGATCTTTGCAGTATTTAGAAACTATGAAAGGATTATAAAGAGTTAAGGCATAACCTGCTATTATAGTAGAGTAACAGCAGTGGAGATGAGGCAAAACCTTGAAATATATTCTGTGGGTAAAGCTAATAGGACATTCTGATGGATGATTATGTAAGGAATGAGAAAAACAGGGAAAAAGATAATTTCTAGGTTTCAGCTTAAGCAACTGGAGGGACAGTGAAACCACTTCCTAAGTGGGAAAGTTGGAAAAAAACAAATTTGATGGCGGCTAAGGGAATAAAAAGCTTTCACACATTTTAAGTATGGCTTTCCTTTGAGAGCTAAGTGGAGATGTCAAACAGACAGTTGAATACACAAATTAAACCAGAGGAGAAGTTAGACTGGAAATATAATAATGGAACAGAGGATGCAGAAAGAGAAAAGATGGTGGACTAGAAACAAGTCCTGAGGGCCCACCTAAACTCAGAGTTCAGACAGAAAGAAGGGCCAGCATAGGAGAAAGATGGGAGGAAAATGAGTGAGAGCCAGGATATGAGAAGAGAGAAATGTCCACTAGAACTAGTACCTGCAGTTACTGAAAGTAACTGATGACCCTGACAAGAGCAATTTCCTTAGAAGAGTGGTAATAGAAGCTACATTTGAGAGGGTTGAAGAGTGAATGGGAAGTGAGAAACCAAATGAGGGCAACTCTTTTCAAAGGTTCCAATGAGTCATGGAACAAACAGGTCTACAACTAGTGGGGATATGAAGCCAAAGGAAGGTTTTGTTTGTATTAAGATGGTAGATACCAGATCATGTGTCTTTACTGACAGGAAGGATTAAAAAGAGAAGAACATGATGATGCAAGAGTGGTGTTAGGATAACTAGTAGCAAGGTCCTAGGGGAAAGTGAGAAGGGATAGGGTATGGAGCACAAATAAAAGGCCTTACCTTTGACAGGAGCAAGAATACGATTTCCATTCTGACAAAAATGATGCAAGAAAACATGAGTACAAACACAGGTAGGTTTGAAGATTTGGTGGTGGTGGGATGATAAGGGAGTTTCCTGTCTCACAGCTTCTAATCGAGGAGGAGTCATTAGTTAAAAATGAGAAAAGGTGAGTATGGGTGCTTTGAGGGGGAAAGAAGTGGTGTGAACTATCAAAAAGTAAAACTCATTAGGGAAATGTAGTAAAATTTCCAAACATGCTAGGTGCCTACTTGAGGTCCTGTGATTAGTCAGCTAGGTATATAATTTATTCAATGTTTGGCTATTTGAATGCACTGACAGAGAAGGTAGAAAGTTGGATTAAATTAGAACTAGGGTTTAGAAAGGAATGTACAAGAGTCAAGGTTTTTGAAAGTATTTGTAAGGAAGTAATTATAATAAAGAACTATAGAATCTATGCTGAGTAAGAAGGGTTATGAAGACAAGAGGGATATGGTGGGCACTGGATAGGTCATCTACACGGATGTTGAAATCACCAAGAATATTAAGAGTCTGATGGATAAGAAAACAAAGAAGATCCAGTCTTTTTAAAGAGTGAAATGACTACAAGTTCGACCAGAGGTAAAAACAAAGGTAAGGGGAGGCATAAATGTAGACTTCAAACAAATTAAGAGTTTTTGAAGGAAAATAGAAATGATTCGGAAGGAGCAAAAAAATTTAACTTACTTTCTGGCTCTAAAGTAAGGTAAGGAAAAGGTCTTTTCTTGTAGATGAGTTGGACATTCAAAAAACTAGAAGAGAGCCATGGCCGGGTAGCTCATTGGTTAGAGCGTCATCCCAATATGCTAAGGTTGCAGGTTGGATCCCCAGTTAGGGCACATACAAGAATCAACCAATGAATGCATAAATAAGTGGAACAACAAATCTCTCTCTCACTCACGTCAATAGAGAGGAGACATTTCATTGATTAGAGCAGTTTCCCACAGTATGGAGAGTTTCCTACATGCATCAGATTGCTTAACCGTAACTATCTTCTTGAAAATATAGATTCCCATCCAAATCAGATCTACTGAATGATAAATCTCTGAAGATGAGGGTGGAATTCTATATTATAAACAGGCACTCCAGATGATTCTTAGATACATTAAAAGTTTGAGAACGACTAAAATAGTACCTTTGAGAACGTAATATATGCAACTCAAGACATACCTGTGATGTTTTTTTTATGTCATGCTATTTTTTAATACAATGGAAAGTATATAAAATTAAGCATAATCATCTTGAGAAGAAATATCCCGAAACAAGTGTCTTTTTTAAACTGTCTTACACAACTTTATTCTTTTAAAGTCTGTGGTAAAATAAGGAAAGGCATAGCCATTTAGTTTCAGGGAGGACTATTTGCCCTATAAAGGCAATCTGTGGAAGCGGGTATACAGGAGAAAGCTTATGTCTCCAAAAGAAAACAAACAAACAAATAAACGAAAAAACAGAAACAAAAACAGAACACTACACATTTCTGCTTAAGGCATGAATATAACTATTCTGCAAGAAAGTGAGGGTTGGCAAGTGGAGGGGCATATCTTACTGAGCTGAATATCCTCAGGGCCCAGTATCAATCTTGGGCTGTCAGGGGATTACTTTTCCTTTTTTGGCCTGGATTGATAGGTAGTATCATTTGGTTATGAGAAAGATAGAAAAATACCAAGCCCTCAGGAGTAGCAGTCAGAGGTTAGCCAACAAACTTTTCTGAGTCTGAGTAAGGCACTCTTACCTTTAAAACATCCAACATCAGAGCAAATATAAAATCACCAAGGGAGACTCCTTGGGTGAGTGAATTCCATGTGACTTTGTTCCTCAGCTGGTATGTCAATAAGGTTTATAGGAAAGCACAAGTATGTGTGTGTGTGTATACATACACACACACACACACACACACACACACACGCACACATATTAAAAGGAAATCTTCTGGACATCCTGGGACAAACAAAGCAATCAGTGAAAACCAATTATAAGAGAATAGCATCACCTGGTTTATAGGAATACCGCTTCTGTCATGCAGAGACTTTGGTACTTACTTTCCTCTGACATGGTAAGGTTTGAAGCAAGGCTTGAAGTTTCAGGTTTCTGATCATTGACTTCAGGGTTGCTTACTTGACTGGGAGAACCAAAATGAACACATTAGTCCCTGACTGACATGCTGCATTGCTAAAAGTGGTTAAATCAAACCCATTTCTTCCAAGACTATACAAAAAAGAAAGAGGTAAAGTAAGTCTTCCTCGTGATATCCTTATTCTTGGTTTTTAGCAGCTACCTGAAGAGCTATGGCCAGGGTTAGTACCTACAGCATTCTACTGTTCTTTCTCATATCTCTAGACTCCTTCAGTTTTTACATCACTCAGAAATTCCAGCTAAGTCACAAGCAAGTCAGATTTTCTCTAAAGACAATGTGGTAAAAGAAAAATTCCACAACATCTAAAAATGCTTTAAGACAATGGTTCTCATAATAACTTGAGAAGTTTTTTCAAGTTTTACATGCTTGCTTCCAAGAAGGAGTTCTGAACCTTAAAATGGCTCGTTCCACTGTATTTCCCTTTTCTCCAAAAATGAAAGGAAAAAAAAAAAAAAAAGACAAATTTTTCTTATTTAACTTATAAAGAAAATTAAGAGAACTTATAAAAGTAAATTATATAAACTGGGAGGACAAGTCATTATGTTAGACGCTTTAATGCTGGGAAGGTTCTCACTGAAATTCTGAAATGGAGAATATACCAACTTTCATCACTCACAATGTCCTTCCTCTTTCCTTCTACCGTACTTTCCGCTCTCCAGTTATTCCCTCAGCTATCAGTATAGCACAATCTTTAGGAGGACAGACTGCAGAGCCAGACTGCTTAAGCTCACATTCCATACTCCACTCTACCAAGCCTAGCTTTATGACTTTAGACAAGTCACTGAACTCTGTGCCCTAGTTCTTCAACTGCAACTGTCAATGAGGGGTAATAACAGAACTTACCTCACAGGGTTGTTATAGAGATTAAAGAGCAGAGACTAGAACAGAGTAACTACAATATAATTACAGCTAGTATTACTGTATTACAACTTCTCCCCAGTCCAGGCACCCTTCCCACATTTATGTTCCCGAGGAAGAAATCTGCTTTGCTGTCTACACTGTAGGGAAAAATGGAGGACACTGCACCAGAGGGTCCATATACCTGGAATGATAACACTGACTAAGAGTAGTTTCTATACAAAAAAATTTAAAGAAATGTTATTTCTATTAAAAAATACACAGCACCAAAATTCTTAAAGCTCTCATATATTTTCTGAACAAACCTCTAATATTCAAGTATAATATCGATAAAGCCCCCCCCCCAGTATATTCTAAATGTTCAAACAATTTTTCCTTGGATGAGAGAAAGGGAAGAAGGGAAGAAAGGAAGAAAGATAATTTCAGAGAGTGGGAAATAAAACACACCAGGAAAGATAGCTGGACCATCAAGAGTGTTTAAGTGTCTGTTTAAGTTGTAATCATGATAGAAAACTGAGACCAGTCAGCATAGTTTTATGTTTTTCTCTTGCAATGTTCAGGTGATTGGAAATAAGTGTGGAATAGGTAGACAGATGAGTTTAAGCAGGGTTGTGATTTTGCTAGGGAAATACAACACAGAGGAAAAGGGGAGGGAGTTAAGACTATTTGTAAGGGACTGATTAAAGTAACAGATCTTATCATTTAAAAGCAACATAAGATACTGAAGTCTTTTTTTGAGGTACGGGTCAATGGCTGATAGGGAAGATCATTTCACTGGACGTGTAGAGTAAGAACATGGATAGTGTGGCAGTAGAATAAATGAGCTGGAATGTAATGTGGTAGTAAAAGAGGAGGATTCTAGAAATTAAGATGTTGGAGGTGATGCAGTTACTGGTTCTTATAGTTACTGGTTCAAACGACAGGAGATAAGAACTGTGGAAAACTAAAATCCATGGTGCTGTGGAAGCCAGAGTATGAGGTGCATAGAAGCTGCCCCTTTTCTATAAAGGGAGTGAGGCTAATGACTGAGGCTTCCCATATCCATTTGGTAATTAATGCCAAACACCTTGCATTTCCCTTACTTCTGCTTATTCTTCCTATTTCGTATTCTATACATCTGACTAAAAATTATTCACCTTTGTGTCTCCTCCATAGATCACATGAGCTTGGTACATATGGTTGAATAAATAATGAATGAATAAAAAAATAAATTAGCACTTATGTGTTTTAAAAACAAACTTTTGGAGGAAATTTTCATTTTAAACCAAATAATTTCAAAATGTACAGACTAATGTTAAAAAACAAAAAGAGGGCAGTCAACCTAAATCATGCCCATCATCAGCATGTGAAAAAAATTGTAATCATTAAAAAGAAATTCAACTTTACATACCTTAAAGTTTGCTCTCCCGATTCCTGCATCTTGGCTTTTTTAACCTGCAAAAATAAATATACAAAGAAATAATGTAGTGATCTGTTTTTGAAATCATCTAGCTACTCAAATGTCAGGCTAACATTAACTGATAAACTTCAGAATAATTATCTTGTCTTGCTTAGATTTATTTAATCCTTATTATATTTTTGAGTTAGATATGAACAACTTTGTTTTTCACATGCAGATCTTTTGATGAAAAAAGTGTTTGTCAGATTCAAGGTAAAATGTTTATCAAGATTTTTACTCAAGATAAAATGTTTACCAGGATGAAATATCTAAACTTGGATACAAACTCATTAGTTTTAAATTTTAACAGATGCATCCGGCCGGGCATGGCTCAGTGGTTGAGCATTGACTTAGGACCCAGGAGATCTCAGTTCGATTCCCAGTCAGGGCACATGCCCGGGTTGCGGGCTCAATCCCCAGTCAGGGGCGTGCAGGAGGTGGCCGATCAATAACGACTCTCTCATCATTGATGTTTCTATCTCTCTCCCTCTCCCTTCCTCTCTCTGAAATCAATAAAGATATATTAAAAAAATTTTTAACAAATGCATAATTACATCACCAAACAGTAAATATGGAACTCTTGATACCATCTCAAAATTTATTTAACAGAAATGTCTTTTTCTTTTTTTTTTGGTTAATCCTCATCTGAGGATATTTTTTACACTGATTTCTAGAGAAAGTGGGAGGGCGGGAGGAACCGGAATGAGAGAGAGAGAGAGAACGAACGAACGAACGATAGGCAGACAGACATCGACTGGCTGCCTCCCGCACACCGCCCGGATTGGGGCCGGGGATGAAACCTACAATCTAAGTACGTGCCCTTGACCGGGAATCCAACCCGAGACCCTTCTGGGCTGACACTCTAACCACTGAGCCACACTAGCCAGGGCTAACAGAAATGTCTTTATACTTAAACTACCTACATACCAAAAATGAAGACAAATTCTTACTAGGTTACCAGTAATTTAAAAAATATTCTTCTTCCCCTCGCCCCAGATTTTCATCCTTTCTTAATTCCTTCTGAGGTAAAAGCATTTACATTGAAACAGTTTAGTTCACAAATGAAAAATCAATGTTTAACACTGCTAACAGACTTACCATATAATCCCTGCTTTCATATTACAAAAGAATCTGATTTTAGAGCTCTCTGGTTAGAATAACTAGTTATAGAAGAAACATGCTTAGTATGGTTAACCGTATAAATTATGAATACTTAGAAGTATTTCAAGCTAACAAAAGAAGGCAAAAATGTTGATAAATAATTTTAAATGGACATAACAGGTGGGAATATAGTTATTTAAAATGATTAAATTTAACATTTCAGATACTGTTCACCTTAATTTGGGCAATTATGTCCCTCTGTAAGTCAGGGATAGGAAGCATGTGCTACCTTGGCACCAGAGACAGTTTAACTCAAAGAATACAGACATATTTCACTGGCTTACAAAAGTACAGATTCAACAATATAATCCAGAAACTGAGAGAATGCAAATAGTACAGCTACTTTAGTACTAGTTCATGAAAAGGTTAAACACAGTTACCATATAATCCAGCAATTCCACTCCTAGCTACATAACCAAGAGAAATGAAAACATGTCCACACAAAAAACTGTGCATGAATGTTCATAAAAGCATTATTCAAAATAGCCTAAAAGTGAAAACAACCCCATTATCCATTAACAGATGAATGGATAAATAAAATAATGATAAGTAAATAAAACGAGTACTGAGTTTGATACGTACATTCTAAAACTTTTTCCAATGCATATAATGCTCTTTCAAAACTTGAGGTCAGAGACCACTTATGATATTCATAAAGGAGTACTAAAGTGCTTCCAGTTTGCCAGAAATAGTCTTGGATTATACCTGTTATCCCAAACTGGGTCTGGTTAGTGCCCCCTTTCACTCTTTAAAAGAGTTCCAGGTTAGATAATAATATGAGCTACTTCAAAGTAGTTGAAAAAGATGAAGACTGGGAGAAGACTGAATCAGGGACGTAACTGCTGACTACAGAGAAAACCATTTCTGATTGCAGAGGATTGACTGGCAATAAGGGAAAATGAAAGACAGACCTGTGGCTAGGATTTATGCTGCATTGTTAACAATGACCCGAACAGATCTTAAATCTTTGTTAACAATGACCCAAACAAATCTTAAATCTTAAGACAGAGCAAGTAAGAAGTAGAGAAACAGAGAGGGATAATCCAGTAAGGATGAGACAAGAGATGATGGGATTAAAATAACTCCAATAATAATAATGCCCATCAGTGACATCTCCCTCTATAGACAGGTAAACAGTAGGATTAAAAATCTTAACTTTATCATCATCAACTTGGGATAGGGCTAGTCTTTCCACTCAAATTTTCCATCTCTACTACAGCCTGTGAAAACTTATTTTTCTCCTCAAAGCCTGACATTGACTCTTCTAATTATTTTTAACGGTCAATAAGTGTTCTGTGTTTTCTTAGATTCCATATTTGTTTATTTGACATTCATTAATCACGGAGCCAAAGTTGTTTGTATCTCTCCTACCATCCAGAGCCCGCATTCTGAACTACCTCCTTTATCTAACTCATACATACCAAGTCAATATTTCCCCTGCTCTAAATCAACTCAGGGCCAGATGGATACCAGACACCTAGTGACAGCCCCCATACTCCAAACCTCCTGGAATTATTCAAGCTAACCAATCCTACACTGTTGACCCTGCCTTGCCTTGCCCCATTCACCCTGCCTGTGGAAACCCCAATGAAGGCTGTAGCCTTTCTGTCTCCTGATCAAAATTGGTGCTTCCCCCTTACCCTGCCCTACCCCATGGGTCCTGTGTGGCATGTCATGCCTCTAATTTCTAAGGGAATTGTGAGTAACATTAAACTTTTCTTTCAAATGGCACTGACCTCTCAATGTTGTCACTCAGGCACCTTTAAAAATTAAATTAAACCCAGGCACAAATCAGTAAGAAAATGATGCCCCAAGGCAATCACCATTTATAGTCAACAGAAAATTAGTTTTTAAAGTGCTTTAATTTCTCACCTTCCTTGGAAGTAACAATCAGGTTTTATATGGAATGTTATAGAAACTGAATAAGAAAAGCAAGGAAATGAAGCAGAGCAGAAAAGATGACCCACTAGCAGGTCAGCCTCACAATCCTCATTACCTTAAATAGGTAAGGAGTAACTAACAATACCCATTTCAACAACTTATAAAAGTCTTTTGAAACTATGACTAGACCTTTTACTACATTTAAAACTCAATGATGTAATTTTTCTTGGTACATTTAGTGTCTCTAATTCAGGTATTTGTTCTTATAGCGTATATCCCAGATACACTGCTGAAGATGATTTTTAACCCTACCATTTCCCTGATTATTAATGTCCCACCAGGGGAAGGAATGACATTCCAAATGTTTCAAAAGGCTGTGGTTGTTTTAACAATTGTTTACGTCTTCCTACTTTTATATTTACCTTAAGTGAGAGGGCTAAAAAATATGTCAAAGTAATCATCAGTACACATTTCTCAATGTAAAGAAAAATATTAAAAACCTACTAAAGGAATTTAATATTTAAATGGAAGCTGGTGTCTTCCATCCTTCTGTAATGTAAAGAATACATCCAGTATATGAAAAACATACCCTATTACCTGCTTTCAAAATTCAAATTTTCCTATGTTGGATTTTCATTAAAAAATGGTAAACATGTACCTCTCTATATTCTCTTTTAATATTAAATGCAAGAGGCTTGCTCAGAATAGCAAACTGAATCAGTATTTATTTAACTTCAGAAAAAGAAACTCAAGACAAAAGGAAAAGATTCTTATAATAAAAGTACCTTAAGAGAATGATTATTGCTTTCTTTTTTAAATGCTAAGGATCAAAAAACAAACAAACAAACAAACAAACAAACAAAAAGAAGCCATGGCAAGGCAATAAATCCGTATCACTTGTGAACATTTAAAATGATTTTATTTATTTATACTAAATACTTAAAAGAAATTAAGAATTCAACCTAGTCTCTAGGGTCTTATCTTTTTAGGAATTAGCTAGTGGTCAGATTATACTTTCTTCAAAATTAGGCCAGTTAGGAAAATTTAGGTAAAGATAAAACTAAATTTTCCGTCAGAAGTGGTAAATAGTGTTTGGTAAATAGATGTCCTCTTTTATTTTAAAAACTGTAAGAATATCCATTGTTTTATCTTTTTTTTTCCTTTGCTGGTCTGTCCCACAACTGACTGACACCCACAGAACATTCTGCTGCCATCTCACCCACCACAATGGCTAATTGCTATGCCCTTCCCTGACAGCTCTGCAGGCCACAGACCAAAGGAAATATCCATTGATTTCTTTTTTTAATGGCATTCCCAAATACAATAGTGATTTTGTAATGCTGAATATTTTAAGCAGACTCCTTAGCATTGTTAGCAAAATATGCATTTAAGAACATATAAAATTGTTTTCTTAGAAGGAAAGTATTAAGGAGTCTTTTTCTTATTTTTATTTCTAATTTGGAATCTGTAGTACAACTAAATAATATTAAAAATATCTACAGATTAGCTTTTCTACAATCAACTTCAAATTATTAAAGGAAATACTTACTGGTTGCTCTGGTAAATCTTGTTCTTCTTCCATGAGGACCAATATTTCTTTATTACACTTATATGACTGTATCAAAACTGTCTCTCAGCAGTCTTCACAGTCTGTTTAAAAAAGAGAGGGAATTCAAAGCTTATGTACTCTTAAAAGCATTATCATTCAGGCCATCAGAGAATAATTTTTTAAAATATTTTGCTACCCCAAGCTTTCCACGTGAGTTCCAATCTCAAAATCTCAAACTTGCACATGGCTTTTCAAAATTGACATGCTACACCAAGTCCAGATAGGAATACGCAATGATTTTTATACTATCTTACAAAAGCCAACACGTGGAACCACTTCTGCTGTACTTAAAACATGGTTACTATAGTGCCTAATGCATTAAACATTTTACAATGTGCTGATAAGTAGGGCAATTTTTTTTTTAGGGTTAGAGTTACATTTTTTAATGATAAAAACTAGCCTAGCAAGTCAGTAAGTTATGATAACATCTAACCTGCTCTCATGTGGAACATTTACATAACGTTAACACAGACACACAGAATTACTTTAAATATAACAAACTGGAATACCAATTAAATACATTCACAATTATCTGTACATATAATTAATTTAAAGGAAAACTCAATTCTCTGGATCTACTTTAATAATGCAAATAAGTGAAACTTTGAATTTTAGAATTAAGAAAAAATAATCATGTAAAGCTGGGACCCAATTTTTTTTTATCTTTTTAATCCTCACCCGAGGATATGTTTTTATTGATTTTAGAGAGAGAGGACGGCAGAGAGAGAGAGAGGGAAACATGGATGTGAGAGAGAAACATCCTTTCCGTATGCACCGTGACCGGGAATGGAACCTGTAACCTAGGTATGTACCCTGACCAAAAATTGAACCCACCACCTTTTTGGTGTATGGGACGATGCTCCAACCAACTGAGCAACCTGGCCGGGGCTGGGACCCAATTTTAGTCTGAAATAATGAGCTCCACTAAATATACTGTTTAGTCAATTATTTAAGGAAAACCTTTATCTTCTTAGATCCTGCTCTACCTGTCCTGATTTTCAAACTAACAAAGAAAAATAGGACTCTAAGCCCCACATTTACTGGTAAAAACACCTTATGTGCCCTTCTGGCAAGAGAGACAGACAGACATTAGAAAACTTAAATACATTATAAAAAAGAAAAACTCCATTACTATTTAACAAAAATGAAACTAGCACTTCTCCAAAAACAGATGTGATTGCTTATGCTTTTAATTAAGGTAACACCTCTTTTCACTTCTACCAACCACTATAACCAACTTAATATATAAAGCTAAAGCAAGTACAAAATCTTACTGCAGAAGTAATGAAAATAGATAAATAACATGAAAAGGGAAATGAAAGACTTCAGTTATGCCAATATACCACCACTCCACTTCTATTGCTCTATCTTGGTACAACACTCTTAGACCCTCACTCCAGAATGGGAAAAGGAGAGAAAACATATGTAAGCTAGACGGTTAGATTAAAAAATGTCCAACTCTGAAACAGCTTTACTCCCTGCCCTAATCTAGAATGTCAAAAGAAAAAAAAGTTTAAAGGTCAGAAGCACAGGATGCTCAATGCACTCACGTGTAGCTCATGCACAGAGCCTCAAAAGCTGAGTTCTCATACTACCTGACGTAGGTAACTAGTGCTGCAGAATTACAGCGCACAATAACTAAAGCTCACAGGTGCTATCTTCCCTGCACTTGTTTTGCTCTACCCAGAACAGCATAATCAATGTGACGTGAAACTGACTCATAATTATGAAAGATGAAACATTTTTTATGTTTCACTAACATATCTATCTTAGTTTTAAACTGAAGCGTCTTTATAGGATTTTAATACTGGCTAAATGAACATAATGTACATGTATGATTTCATCTCATAAGAAAGAGCAAACTAGGGCCAAATCATCAGGAAAATGTAATGCCTTTAAATCTCATTTGTTGAATTTTTGTGTGACCAGCTCTGACCTAAACAAAAAGTGACAATATTCCATGTTTTACTTAATTGAAGGCCATAACTGTAATAACTGCAATCTCTAATTAGTAGATTCTCGGCAAGGGAGAGGGAGAGGATATTCCTTCCTTCTCATACGGGAAATGTTTTAAAATCTATTTCTGGGTAAGAGGAAGGTAAGGAAAATTGTTTTGTTTTTTAAAAAAGGATACTAAAAACCATGTACTTTAACTTTGTTTTTAAACACAAAAACTAATTTATTTAAAAAATATGAACAACATTAAGAACACAGATTTTTATTGATCAAAATAGGTTATGGGTTTTAAAAGGCAAGAAATACTTCTTAATAGTGGGGAAATAAATTTTTCAGACCACATAAAACTAAATGTTAAAATCTTGATTTTTTGTTTTTTAGAAATATGATAATATTACTGTGATTTTATAATGGAAATGTACTAATTTTCTATTTTTCTTGAGATAAACTCTATGGTAAGTTGTAAGAAAACCTTCTTTAAGAAAACAAATGAAAGATACTCCTTTCTACCTCTCCTATTTCTTCTATGAAAAGAAGCATCCTTTGTTGTTTCCATCCTTAAAAATTACTTTTATTTTCTCAGCTTTTAAATTTAGGGGACTAAAAGGGGCATAGATAATTTTTATATTTAGAAAAAAAAACTTTAAAAATCAATAATTGGTCTATGATCACCAATAATTTTGATCATTTTAAAACAAAAAAGGCAATCTATAAGCAAAACATATGATTTCTTATAGAATCTTCTGGGATTCTACTGGCTATTGTGAAGTATGCAAACATATATTCTGGTACATATGTGTATAAAATATACTAATAATGACATAAATCACATAATTCCATCACAACATGCATCTAAGATACTACTTTCCATCAATACAGTATTCTTCCTTCCAAAAATTTGTAATTTAAAAGACCTGAAATATAAGAACATACTCAATACAAGAATACAAGTATTTACCACGTTCCTAACATTTATCAATGTGCTAAAACTTTTAATCTTAAGATCTCACACCATTTTCTACAGTGGCACGTGCTGAATAATCAAAAGCCGAGTTTACGAGCAACCAGATGAAAGTATTATATAACACAGACACAGTAATCTAGTATTTGACAATAACAAAAAGTACGGAATTACAATACAAATCTTAGCATTCTCATTTCCGTGTACTAGTTTTAGAGTTTAATATAATGGCTTGACACAGGAGTGGAAAATGGATTCTTAATGTAATGTAAATTAATACAATTACAATTTAGCCAAGCAGCCGATGAAATTACAAAACACTCTCTGAATTCATTTTTTGTTTTAAGCACCTTTATAAGGCATTTGGATGGTAATGTCTTTTCATAATTTTTTAGTTTCAATTTTTATAATTGGTTTCTAAATACAGCTGTTTTATCATCTTTTTTGGAGTTTGTTAGTATTTATATGCCTTCATAGACAAAAATCTGGGAAAATCTGCAATTGAGAACAGAAATAATATTTCCTTACCTGCCAATGCTGACAATGAAAAAATAGGAACTTTGGTTTGAAACAAAAAGGTCACACAATTTTAAATATTGTGACTTCACATGCTCATAAATAAAAGCTGGATCATTTTGTAATATGGCAGCCATAATTTTTAATCCTTAGAAATTAGAAGGGAAATAATAACAAATATTTTATTTCAAAATTCTAATGATATTCCAACCTTATAATTTCTGTTTTGTACCAAGTTCAACATACTATTTACCCTGTAGTTATAAATGGCAACAGGCAAGCACTTAGGTTCCTTCAATGTCTTATTATAGCCCTTAAACATAGAAAGGGAAATTAAAAATTAGGTATATAAATACTTTAAAGCACAGTATAAGGTCATTTTTTTCCAACAAAAACACACTATATGTTATTCTTAATTATAATATTAAGAAAAGTGTCTAAATAGAGCAAAACAGTCTGATTATAGGTCCTAAGTAGAGCAAAACAGTCTGATTATAGGTCCACACTTGCATGTGGCTAAGTGTGCAGAGATATTCAGGAATTAACTGAGTATCTTTGATACAGTTCTAAATAGAATAGGTAGCTCACAAATTGGTCACTAACTACACTGAATTTTAGAAGTCAATTAACTACCCCTTCCAGAACCTTACATATATTTTCAGAGCACACTAAAGAATGGGCTACAAAAGTTTCCCTGGAAAAAAATCAATAGTTTTCCTCCCCAAATTAAATATATCTCAGCAATAATAGTTATAAACAATAGTAGCCTAAAGAAGTATAAAAAAGTGGTATATAACCACTTAAGATTTTTATTAACACGTGGATTACTTCATGATTTAAAAGAAGTAAGTAATTAGCAAATGTTTGCCATGGCATCCTCAAATATAATTATGTGTATGCCTTGAAGAATGAAAACAAAAAGCAAAATATGCTCTTCTAATGGTTTTATTGTTATTCAACAATAACTGATCTATTCTAAGGGGGATCTATCAAGGAATTCAGAAACAAGTGTCCTAATACCGAAAGTACCAAACATAAAGCCTGAAGGTATCTGGTCAATATAAATTCTAATTTATCAACTAGGAGGCTTATAAGGCAAAATCAGAAAGATGTCAGGAGAAATGGTTTCAAAACATAAGAAAACATTTCTGTGGTCTCGTGGAACAGCGCTTATTAGCAGTAAGTGTTGGTGGGGATGATACTAATTAGTAATTTGGGCTTCACAAGCTACAGAATATATACATTAGGTTTCAAATAAGAATATATGCATTAGGTTTCGAATAAGAAGTAAACGAAAGTTTACTCCAATACCTACAAATTTCTTACTGAAAATTAGGTAAAAATAACAATGGAAATTTTGGAGGAGAGGAGAATAGAGGAAACTAATGAATAGCTGCCCTATACCAGTCTTTAAAACTAATTACAGGGAGAAGGGTAAGCGAGCTATCATTTACCAAGCATTTATAATACACTAAGTATTTTTATATTCATTGTCCTACCTAATTTTATCTCCACAACTATCCTAAGACACAGGTGGCATTATCCTCATTCTATGGACAGGACAGCTGGGATTCAGAGATTTAAACAATGTGCCTGAGAATAATAGCAATCATGCTTCAGGTTTAAATAGAAATACATCAAGTAAAGAGACTAGAGGACAGTGGTAATGGCTGACATTGTGAATGTATTTAATGCCACTGAATGTATACTTCAAAATGGTTAAAATCGTTTTTGTTAAGCATATTTTTTAAAACAAAGAACCAAAAAAACAAAACCACATACAAAAACACAAGAGACTAGAAATACCAAAACAATGATCAAATCTAAAAAGTGCTTATAAGTGGAGAAAAATCCATTTTAAAAAATATTGTCAGAAAAACTGAGTATCTACATGGAGAAAAACATACCCACATCATACACTATGATGAATTCTAAGTATATGAAGAACTAGTAGCATTAAAAAAATGGAAAAGTAGAATAGCATATTTATTTCATCAGTAGAAAGATAAATTTTTGAGCAACAGAAGCATTA